AACCCTGACTTGGAAAAACAGAAACAAAAACAAACGAAAAGAGGAACGAAAGAAATGTAACTCAAATACCACAGTGTCCATATGTTACATAATTCAATGGCTTTTAAAGTGTCCGCAGACTCGAAATGCTAACATTTACTGGAGAATGTTTGCATAAGCAACTGGAAAGAGCATATCTATTTGCACACATTTCCTGTTTCATACTCATAGCCCTGGGAATAGCCATCCATTTCCAGAAGAATGCCTTCATGCAATACACGGCCTTTCAGGTCGGCCTCCTTCCACTCACCACAATCATTTAACGACTTATCCACTTTGTATCATGTTATCTTTTATTTTTACATTCCAATGTGTGCACAAATCAGATTAAATTTTGTTTACGTTTATTTTGTGTACATATATGTGGGAATCAGATCACCCTTCTATCAAACACCCTGCTTTGTTTCAGCTCTATTAAAACAAACAAACAAACAAACAAACTTCCAATTGTTTCTAATTTCCAATTAAAGTTTTTCTTTCTGTTTGTTTTTTTGAAACAGGCTTTAATAGAGGCTTTACATTAAATAAGAAACAAGGTATCTCTTCATTCTTATGAATACAGAATGAGTCTGTATTTACATTTTGTTTTTTTGTTGGATCAAGTGTTTCCCCAGTTCCAGCATGTAGTTTTAATTGCTCCAGTGTCTGGAAGCTCTCCTCAGAACACTTTGATCGGGAAATTTATGAAGGGTGCAAAACTAGAAAGAAAACTGAGTAGATGAGCAAAAAGGGCTGTCTGGAGGAGGAGAGGTGGGGAGGGAAGGCAGGGGAAGTATGGGGGCAATGTATAAGCCATGTGAAAATGTCCTATATACCAGAGTGCAATGAATGCACACAAAGGAAAAAAAGAAAAAATCTTTGTGTTTTCAACTATAAAACCAAACTTAAATCCAACTGAACCAAATCTACCAGTGTTGTCTGACAGGAATGTTTATTTTTCTTTCACCCCTAGAGGGCAGTACACTACATTAGTACTCAGGCAACAGCTTAACACCAATTTACACGACTTTAAAACTTCATTTGCATGCTGGTTGGGCTCCCAAAGTCCAGTCTAAGAGAGGGAGGAGCAATAATGAGCAAAGGGGTCAAGACCTAATGGGATACCCACTGAAACAGCTTACCTGAGCTAGTGGGAGCTCACTGACTCTGCACTGACAGCAGGGTGTAGGGGTGTGGGGGGTTGGTAGGGAGAGAGGACACAGGATGAGACCCTGCATAGGACCAAACTAGGCCCTCTGAATGTGGGTGATAGTTCTGTGTCTTGGGCAGTTTTTTGTCCTCTGAATGTGGGTGATAGTTCTGTGTCTTGGGCAGTTTGTGGGGCCATTGGCAGTGGGACCAGGATTTATCCCTGCTTGTACTGGCTCTTTGGAGGGATTCCTTGCTCAGCCTAGATAGAATGGTGAGGACCTTGGTCTTGCCTCAAAGCAAATGTGCTACTTTGTCGATTCCCTTACCCTCTCTAAGGAAGTGTAGGAGGGGAGGTAATGGGAACTGGGTTTGCTATGTAAGAAGGTTGCTCTATTACTTGATAAGAGGACGGCTCTGCCACTACAAGGCAGAGCTGTTTTGTTTTGGTGTAGTTGTCTTTTTCTTCCACCGTGTGGGTCCTAGAGTTGCCAGGTTTGGTGGCAAGTGCTTTTATCTACTGAGCTATCTAGTTGACCCCTTTGAACCTATCATGAGTTAATTTTGTACTGAATCTTTATTCAGGTTTAGAATTCTCAGAGATCTGTTAATTTTTACTTGTTTCCAAAAGTGAGTTAGGACAAATATTCAGGAGGACTGTAACTCCTATAAAACTGTCGTTGAGCAGATTGTCCAGTCTCAGTGAACGTCCATAGTAGCACTGCAAGAGACTGGCGGCTGCGGTCCTAGCCCACGCCCTGGGTTCTGACCCTGTGCTGTGCGCGCCTGTTTTTATGCTCATAGTGAGCTTTTGATTACTAAAGCTTTGTTGAATATTTTAAAGTCATACTTTAGAACTTTTGCTAAAAATACTTTTTTGCTATTTTTTTTTAGAGGAGTTTGAAACAAATTTTTGGGTGTATTTTCTAGTTCTATGTAGAATGCCATTGGTATTCTGGATAGGGGTGCATTAAATATCTAAACTGCTTGTGTAGTCTGGTCAATAATATTTATTATTCTAACTCATGAACACAAGGCAAGATTCCTTTCAAGATTTTTGTTTTCCCTTTAATTTCTTCTTTCTTTCTTTCTTTTCCTTTTTTTTTTTTTTTTTTTTTGGTTTTTCTAGACAGGGTTTCTCTGTAGCTTTGGTGCCCGTCCCGGAACTAGCTCTTGTAGACCAGGCTAGCCTCGAACTCCCAGAGATCCGCCTGGCTCTGCCTCCCAAGTGCTGGGATTAAAGGCTTGTGCCACCACCGCCCAGCTCCCTTTAATTTCTTTGGTTAATGCCTTTTCATTGTCATTATAATCTTTCACCTCTTTGGTAAGTGTAGTCCTAGCTATTTTATTTATTTTTTGACGGCTATTATAAAGGGATGTTGCTTCATTTCTGTTTCAGATAAGTCACTAACACCACTAATTTTTTATGTTGATTCTGTATCTTATCTCACAGTTTTGTAGAGTGTACTATTAGTCCTTCAGTGTTTTGGTGTTGCTTGGGTTTCTACACAGAAGAAAACAGCACCGGAAGCTAGATGTGGCAGTGCTCCTCTGTAATAGCAGCCAATCTCTCACGACTCCTCCCTTAAGGTCATCTCATCCAGTCTTACGGTTATTTACATCAGGGTACACTGACAACTCCCCAGTTCTATGTCCATCTGTCCCTGCATTCCAGACACAAGTGTCTCAGGGAATAATTAGCCAAGTCACCATGGGGACAGCTGATAGAAAAATCAAAATGTAAGACGTGCGATGGTGGCACACACCTTTAATCCCAGCACTCGGGAGGCAGATGCAGGCGGATCTCTGTGAGTTCGAGACCAGCCTGGTCTACAGAGCTAGTTCCAGGACAGGCTCCAAAGCCACAGAGAAACCCTGTCTCGAAAAAACAAACAAACAAAAAACAAAAACAAAAACAAAAAAAACCCAAAAGATGTGTTTTTAAAAACAGATACTCTTGGCTCTCGTGTACTCTACCCCAGGATTTCCACCGTTCTCACAGCCAGCCTGGCCACAGTCACCAGTACAATCATACTGGACTTCTTCTTTCCACTCTATACTTCATCAAAATTTATCAGAAAATAAGAATTCAAAATATCTTCATTACTGTCTGCTTATTACCATTGCTGTTATTAAGGAGACCCTGATTCCTGGAAGAGCTTGTCCCGGGCCCTTCCTCAGCCCGTGCTGTTTTCTCTCTACTATAACATACAGAGGACTCCGAAAGGCTCAAACTCGGTCCGGCGTCTGGACTTTGTATTCATGTCCTCAGTGTGAGCGCCATCCCCCCAGCACCGCCAAAGCTGCCTTCCTGACTTCAGACCTCTGTTCAAACGCCAGTTTCTCCGAGCTCCTCCGTCCCTCCTATCTTCCGACTGCCATCCGGATTTCATGCAGTAATTGATAACCATCTCACAGCTTATTTTAAGTATTTGAAATTGCATTTCTCATATCAACTACAGCCTGTCTTATCTTCTTTTCTAGATTCAGTACAGAAGAGTGCTTGACTGTTTTCTCCTTTATTTCTGATTTAGGTCTATCATCATTTCAGTTGTTTAGACTACACAAATGACAATATGGATTTTCCAGGAATTCTTGACCTAGAAGAGACACATATGTCTACAAGTAACTTCAGTTTATTGTACAAATATATCATTTGTTTGGAGTAAGGAGTAGAGATTCATTATGAAAAAAAAACTGAACAAAGTTCAACCTCACAGGATTTAAAACAGTGAATGAACGATTCCTGGAATATTAGGAGGGTGTGGGGAGACCTTTCCAACACTGAATGAACAGGCATGGAGGTATGAAACAGGCTTTCCTGAGGGAAATAATAGTTTGATGTAACTGTCACAGGAGGACAGGCGCGTCAGATGACAGCAAAGCAGGACTCACAACACTAGACACCAGATCAACACGGCTAAGGCCTGAGGAAAGGAAGCTCCTCCAGCAATGAGAGATGGGGCTTTTTATACGGCGTGTGATTCTCACTGCAGAGATCCCACCAGAAGCAAAAAATCAGGCTGAAACTGAGCTGAAATAATCTCTATGAGGGTCTGAAGCAAAAAGTACTGGAGGGAAGTAAAACAGTGAGAGACGATCATAATTTCTTTGGTTGCTTTGTTCTTTGAGACAGGGTTTCTCTGTCTAACAGCCCTGGCTGTCCTGGAACTTGCTATGTAGGCCAGGCTGGCCTCGAACTCACAGAGATACATCTACCTCTGTCTCCCAAGTGCTGGATTAAAGGCGTGCACCACCACAACTGGTCTTATCATTATAAACCCTTTGGAAAGATCATGTAACTTTCGGCTTTCCTTCAGTATTTTAGAAAGCAAACCTCTAATACAAGTCTAGTTGTACAGTGGATCTTCCTAACAGTGAATAAAAAGTACTGATTAGAGAAAAGCTATCAAGCACACTTCAGTTCTCACATTCGCCATCTAACCCCTTTGGATTTTAAAACTATGTTGTTTACATGGATGTGTTTGTGCATTTGCTCATGTGTGTGAACACACCTATGGTAGCCACAAGAAGGTGTGAGATCCCTTGGAGCTCGAGTTGGTTACAGGTTGTAGTGAGTCACCAAAGTGGGTCCTGGAAACATACTCCAGGCCTCTGAAAGAACAGCAAGGACTCTTAACTACTAAGCCATTACTCTAGTCCTTATGCTGAATTTTTAAAATGTCAGAGGTTTTTTTTGGAGACAGATGACTCTTGAATAAAATGATAATATTAAATACTGAGCATGCAAGCTAGTAACTCACCCTATGGTAACATAAAAAGGCAGAGCTCCTGCAAAGTCTTAAACAAACAGCTTTATTATTCTGGGGGGATGCTATTTATTATAAGCTTCTTGGATACGTGTACAAAAAGGTATTAGAATTAAGAATTTCAGAAAACAAAGCTTCACTATTATACTTAAGACATAATTTGAATAATAAAATAGCCTCTTTCATTTTTATATAGAGAAAATTTATATCCATTAGCATGCTTATTGAAAACAATGAAGTATTTCATTCATTAAAAATGTATCAAGAAAATACATAATAAAGTATAATTTGTAGCATAAATATAAGCCAGTAAATTCATTTTCATTACCTACATTAAGATTTACTTTTATAAACATAAAAGTCTAGTATTTAAAATCATTAACAAATGCAGAAATACAGAATTTATTTACAGAATTCTCAAAAATAACTTCACTAAATAGTGACTGTCACAGTTGATCAGTATTTTCTCTGCACTCTGGATCCGACATCAGGAGATGGTCTGGCCCGCGGCTGGTTGTTCTGTAAGAGAGTTCAGAGTGTTCTCTTAGAGTCATGGTACATATTATCAACAATGCCGAGTCCTGCTCTATGTAGAGCACCGTATGGCCGTAATAATTCACAGTCTTTATATTACTAACGGTAATATGCTTCAAAGAAACTTCCCTAGAGCAGGGGTGCGGCTGTGGCTGTGCATGGGCAGGTGTCCTGTCTCTCCCTGCACTTTAGGCATCCTTTTCTCTACCCCAACTAACATTATTATTACTTTTTTGAGACAGGGTCTCTTCACTGGACTTGAAGATGACCGTTTGGCTAACTGGCTGGCCGTGGAGCCCTGAGATCTGCCTGCTTCCATGCCCAAGGGCTGGGTCACAGACTACATCCTGTTGGTCTGTGGGCTGGGGATCTGAACTCAGGCCCTCCCGCTGTGCAGCAAGGACTTGACTCACTGAGCGCCTCTCCAGGCCCTTAAGAGGCAGTGGTGGCGCAAGCCTTTAATCCCAGCACTCGGGAGGCAGAGGCAGGCAGATCTCTGTGAGTTCGAGGCCAGCCTGGTCTACAAGAGCCTGGTCCGGGACAGGCACCAAAGCTACAGAGAAACCCTGTCTCGAAAAACTAAAAAAAAAAAAAAAGCTTTCTAAATTCAGGTGTGCGGGCATACTCCTATCATCTCAGCACTTGGGAGGTGAGGGCAGGAGGATCAAGAGTTCAAGGCTAACTACACATTGCCCTGTCTCAGAAAACACAGCACAATGCAGAGGAGCTTTTTGTCATCTGTTGATCTGTTGTGTAAATGGCCAAATATAATCTTTCTTCTTTCTTTCTTTCTTTCTTTCTTTCTTTCTTTCTTTCTTTCCCCTCTCTCTCTCTCTCTCTTTTTCTTCCTTCCTCCCCCCCCCCTTTTTTTAAACAAAAGCACTTGGAAGCATGTAAGGCTTTAAGAATGTTTAACATTTATTTTAGATCAAAGATAAAGTTGCTTCTTAAAAAAAATTCATTAAATTTATTTTATTTTAAGCCAGGTAGTGGTGGTGCATGTCTTTAATCCCAGTACTTAGGAGAGGCAGAGATGGGTGTATTTCTGTGAGTTCAAAGTCAGCCTGGTCTACTAAGTGAATTCCAGGACAGCCAGGGCTATACACATAAATCCTGTCTTGAAAAACCAAAGGGGAAAACAATTTAAAAACTAATAAGACACTTAATATTGATGGACTCAATTCACCTATAAAAAGGCACAGGTTAAGAGAATGAATATGAAAACAGGATCCAACATTCTGCTGTTTACAAGAAACACACCTCAAACTTAAAGACAGACACTACCTCAGAATAAAGGGTTGGGAAAAGGCTTTTCAATCAAATGGTCCAAAGAAACAAAACAAGGGGGTGTGGCTATACTAATATCTAACAAAATTGACTTCAAACTAAAATCAATCAGAAGAGACGGAGAAGGACACTTTAGTCTCAAAACAGGAACAATTCATCAGGAGGAAGTCTCAATCCTGAATATCTATGCCCCTAATATAAAAGCACCCACATATGTAAAAGAAACATTACTAGAACTCAAAGCATACATCAAACCCCACACTCTAATAGTAGGAGATTTTAACACTCCACTTTCACCAATGGACAGGTCAACCAGACAGAAACTTAACAGAGAAATAAGAGATCTGACAGATATAATGAACCAAATGGACTTAACAGACAATCTATAGAACATTCCACCCAAACCTTCTTCTCAGCATCTCATGGAACCTTCTCAAAAATTGATCACATAATTGGTAACAAAACAAACATCCATATATACAAAGAAATTATAATAACCACCTGTGTACTATCAGATCACCATGGAATAAAGTTAGAATTCAACAACAATGCTACCCCCAGAAAGCCTACAAACTCATGGAAACTGAACAGTCAACTACCGAACCACCCCTGGGTCAAGGAAGAAATAAAGAAAGAAATTAAAGACTTCCTTAAATTCAACGGAAATGAAGGCACAACATATCCAAACCTATGGGACACCATGAAAGCAGTGCTAAGAGGAAAGTTCATAGCACTAAGTGCCCACATAAAGAAAACAGAGAAAGCACACATTGGAGACTTAACAGCACACCTGAAAGCTCTAGAAAAAAAAGAAGCAGACTCACCTAGGAGGAGTAGAAGACTGGAAATAATCAAACTGAGGGCTGAAATCAACAAAATAGAAACACAAAAAACAATCCAAAGAATCAATGAAACAAAGAGCTGGTTCTTTGAGAAAATCAACAAGATTGATAAACCCTTATCCAAACTAATCAAACGGCAGAGAGAAAATATGCAAATTAATAAGATCAGAAATGAAAACGGGGATATAACCACAGACACAGAGGAAATTCAGAGAATCATTAGATCTTATTACAAAAGCCTGTATGCCACAAAATTGGAAAATGTAAGAGATGGACATTTTTTTAGATAAGTACCATATACCAAATTTAAACCAAGACCAGGTGAACAATCTAAATAGACCTGTAAGTCGTGAAGAATTAGAAGCTGTTATCAAAAACCTCCCTACCAAAAAAAGCCCAGGACCAGATGGTTTCAATGCAGAATTCTACCAGAACTTCCAAGAAGAGCTAATGCCTATACTCCTTAATGTATTTCACAATATAGAAACAGAAGAGTCATTGCCAAATTCCTTTTATGAAGCTACAGTTACCCTGATACCAAAACCACACAAAGACTCAACCAAGAAAAAGAATTATAGGCCAGTCTCACTCATGAACATCGATGCAAAAATTCTCAATAAAATACTGGCAAACCGAATCCAAGAACACATTAAAAAAATTATCCATTATGATCAAGTAGGCTTCATCCCAGAGATGCAGGGTTGGTTCAACATATGCAAATCTATCAATGTAATCCACCATATAAATAAACTGAAAGAAAAAAAAACACATGATCATTTCATTAGATGCTGAAAAAGCATTTGACAAAATTCAACATCCCTTTATGATAAAGGTCTTGGAGAGATTAGGGATACAAGGGTCATACCTAAATATAATAAAAGCTATTTACAGCAAGCCGACAGCTAACATCAAATTAAATGGAGAGAAACTCAAAGCCATCCCACTAAAATCAGGAACACGACAAGGCTGTCCACTCTCTCCATACCTCTTCAATATAGTGCTTGAAGTTCTAGCAATAGCAATAAGACAACATAAGGGGATCAAGGGGATTCGTATTGGAAAGGAAGAAGTTAAGCTTTCGTGATTTGCAGATGATATGATAGTATACATAAGCGACTCCCAAAACTCTACCAAAGAACTCTTACAGTTGATAAACAGCTTTAGTAATGTGGCAGGATACAAGATCAACTCCAAAAAATCAGTGGCCTTCCTATACACTAAGGATAAGGAAACAGAGAGGGAAATTAGAGAAGCATCACCTTTCACGATAGCCACAAATAGGATAAAATATCTTGGGGTAACTCTAACCAAGGAAGTGAAAGATCTGTTTGACAAGAACTTTAAGTTTTTGAAGAAAGAAATTTAAGAGGATACCAGAAAGTGGAAGGATCTCCCTTGCTCTTGGATTGGGAGGATCAACATAGTAAAAATGGCAATTCTACCAAAAGCAATCTATAGATTCGATGCAATTCCCATCAAAATTCTTCACAGACCTTGAGAGAATAATAATCAACTTTATATGGAAAAACAAAAAACCCAGGATAGCCAAAACAATCTTATACAATAAAGGAACGTCTGGAGGCATCACCATCCCTGACTTCAAACTCTATTACAGAGCTACAGTACTGAAAACAGCTTGGTATTTGCATAAAAACAGAGAAGTCGACCAATGGAATTGAATAGAAGAGCCGGATATTAACCCACAAAACTATGAATACCTGATTTTCGACAAAGGAGCTAAAAGTATATAACGGAAGAAAGAAAGCATCTTCAACAAATGGTGCTGGCATAACTGGATGTCAACCTGTAGAAGAATGAAAATAGATCCATATCTATCACTATGCACAAAACTCAAGTCCAAATGGATCAAAGACTTCAATATCAATCTGAACACACTGAACCTGATAGAAGAGAAAGTAGGAACTACTCTACAACACATGGGCACAGGAGACTGCTTCCTATGTATAATCCCAGTAGCACAGACAATAAGCGCATTGTTGAATAAATGGGACCTCCTAAAATTGAGAAGCTTCTGTAAAGCAAAGGACATTGTCATTAAGATAAAAAGGCAACCTACTGACTGGGAGAAGATCTTCACCAACCCCGCAGCCGACAAAAGTCTGATTTCCAAAATATATAGACTGTAAAATGCTAATTAACCCAATTAAAAATGGGGCACTGAACTGAACAGAGAATTCTCAACAGAAGTAGTTCAAATGGCCAAAAGACACTTAAGGTCATGTTCAACCCCCTTATCAATCAGGGAAATGCAAATCAAAACAACTTTGAGATACCATCTTACACCTGTCAGCATGGCTAAAATCAAAAACACCAATGATAGCCTTTGCTGGAGAGGATGTGGAGGAAGGGGAACACTCATCCATTGCTGGTCAGAATGCAAACTTGTACAACCACTTTGGAAATCAGTGTGGCGGTTTCTTAGGAAATTCGGGATCAACCTACCCCAGGACCCAGCAATACCACTCCTGGGAATATACCCAAGAGATGCCCAATCATACTACAAAAGCATTTGTTCGACTATGTTCATACCAGCATTATTTGTAATAGCCAGAACCTGGAAACAACCTAGATGCCCCTCAATGGAAGAATGGATGAAGAAAGTGTGGAATATGTATGCATTAGAGTACTACTTAGCGGTAAAAAACAATATCTTGAATTTTGCATGCAAATGGATGGAAATAGAAAACACTATCCATGGGCTGGAGAGATGGCTCAGAGGTTAAGAGCACTGACTGCTCTTCCAAAGGTCCAGAGTTCAATTCCCAGCAACCACATGGTGGCTCACAACCATCTGAAATGAGGTCTGGTGCCCTCTTCTGGCCTGCAGGCATACACACAAACAGAATATTGTATACATAATAAGTAAATAAATAAATATTAAAAAAAAAAAGAAAACACTATCCTGAGTGAGGTAACTCAGACCCAAAAAGATGAATATGGCATGTACTCACTCATAAGTGGATTCTAGCCATAAATAAAGGACATTGAACCTATACTTCGTGATCCTAGAGAAGCTAAATAAGAAGGTGAACCCAAAGAAAAACATATAGTTATCCTCCTGGATATTGGAAGGAGACAAGATTGCCAGGCAAAAATTGAAAACTTGGGGGTGGGGGTGGGGGTAAGGGTAAAGGGAGATGGGGAGAGAAAAGTGAGAAGGGGAGGATGGGGAGAGCTTGGGGGTTGGGATGGAGGAAGGGTGGATATGGGAGCAGGGAAGTATATATCTTAATTAAGGGAGCCATTTTAGGGTTGGCAAGAGACTTGACTCTAGAGGGGTTCCCAGGTGTCCATGGAGATGTCCTCAGTTAGTTCCTTGGGTAGCTGAGGAATGGGAGCCTGAAATGACCCGATCCTACAGCCATACTGATGAATATCTTGCATAACACCATAGAACCTTCATCTGGCGATGGAAGGAGATAGAGACAGAGACCCACATTGGAGCACTGGACTGAGCTCCCAAGGTCCAAATGAGGAGCAGAAGGAGGGAGAACATGAGCAAGGATGTCAGGACTGCGAGGGGTGTGCCCACCCACTGAGACGGTGGGGCTGATCTAATGGGAGCTCACCAAGGACAGCTGAACTGGGACAGATGGAGCATGTTATCAAACTGTACTCTCTGAACGTGGTGGACAAGGAGGGCTGACTGAGAAGCCAAAGACAACTGCACGGGGTTTTGATCCTACTGCATGTACTGGCTTTGTGGGAGCCTAGTCTGTTTGGATGTTTACCTTCCTAGATGGATGGAGTGGGGAGGACCTTGGACTTCCCACAGGGCAGGGAACCCTGACTGCTCTTTGGACTGGAGAGGTGGAGGACGGGGAGGGAAATGGGAGAAGGGGAGGAGGTAGAAATTAAAAAAAAAAACTAAGTAAGATACTCTAAAATAAAAATTCTAAGATTTGTAGGGATTTTTTCCTTCGATAATGTGCACCTAAGCAACTGTAGGGCCTTGGCAGTCCCTGGAGACTGTGTTACACTGCACAGTTCACCCAGTGTCTCAGGAGCTACCTTCTTTTTTACAGCTACAGCATTAGCAGAGTACCTGCTACACAGGAAGAAGACCAGAACCAGAGTCTGCCTGGTCTACAGGGTGAGTTCTAGGACAGTCAGAGATAGAGTAACCCTGTCTCGAAAAACAACAACAAACATATAAACAAATCCACTAAGCCAGCATTTGAACCTATTAGATTCAAATGGTTACCCATCATTAGCGATTAGCACCTATCATGATAAAACTGTTTTTTATAACTCACTGGAATTATAAATAGTACAGGTGTAAGTGTCTGTGTCCCAGATTTGATCTTCTATGTATGTAATTAATTGACCTTTCTGCATAGATTCTGATATCCTTTAAGACAAAAATGTACTTAAAATTGGAATTAAACAATGTCTAGGGGCTCAAGAGATGGCTCAGTGGTTAAGAGCATTGCCTGTTCTTCCAAAGGTCCTGAGTTCAATTCCCGGCAACCACATGGTGGCTCACAACCATCTGTAATGAGGTCTGGTGCCCTCTTCTGGCCTGCAGACATACACACAGACAGAATATTGTATGCATAATAAATAAACAAATACTTAAAAAATAATGTCTAATAATGCATAAATCAAAGTAAATGTTTTAAAATTTTCAAGGAAGAGAAAATATCACTGGAAAATTTAACAAATTAGGTAATTACAAAAAATTTAGGGAAATCCCAAGCTAGAATGAACTAAGTGCTTGCCAACAAGGATGCTGCACCCTAGGGGTGCACAGTGGGGTGGAAAGGGCAGCGCAGCTTCCTGCTCTCTTCAGTGCCACGCCTGTCAGACCTGGGTCAGGGCACCATGGTGCAAATATTGCTTCACAGAAGAAACAGTATTGAGGGATGTGGAAGCTTCGATAGATTTATTCTTTCCTGTCAAGATTTTAGAACTCAGGGCACCCAGTCTTTATCCTCTCCCCTCAAAATCTCCAAAAGTTCTCACATTAAAAGAGATTTCTGTATTTTATTCTGTGTGAGTGACAGTTTGCCTGCACATGTGCACTGTGTATGACTGGTTCCCCCAGGCCAGAAGAGGACATGGGATCCCCAGGACCCAGGGTCACTGAAGACTGAGAATCACCAGTCTGGTCCTAGGCAAAAGCAAGTGCTGCAGCTGCACTCTAGCAAGGCATACATAAAAGAGCACAGGAGAAACTTAGCATATACTCACCAGAAGTGGGATTAACTGGAAAGGATTTTTGATGGATGGGTTTTTGAAAATGGCTTCTTGTACATCTGAAAAATCATACCACGACACAAAAAAATTAGTTATGTATATAAGAGACTCACTAAAGGATTAATAACAAAATTCTCATGTGTCAAAGTATTCAAAATTGAATAAGACATTTCCTACTGATCCCAGAAATAGTCCTTACATGTAAATAGGCCCCAAAAATGAAAGCAATTTGATTAGGAACAATTAAATAAAGCTGACTGCTAAGAGGGAATTCTGAGTATCTTGATTTTATGAAACAATCTTCATTCAAATGTCACATTTTCCTTTTGTTTTAAGTAAAAAAAGAATTTCTTGCTGCTTGTGGTGGCGCACGCCTTTAATGACAATAGTGAGAAGGCAGAGGCAGGTGGGTCTCTGAGTTTGAGGCCAGCTTCGTCTACAGAGCGAGTTCCAGGCAAGCCAGTCTTATGCAATGAGCTCCCCCCACTTCCTGTGCTGGGCTTGAACTCAGGACCCCACTCACACAAGAGAATTTCTCTTTTTCTCCTACCTTCTCCTCCTCCCCCTCCTTCTTCTTTAAATTTTATGTGCACTTCTGTTTTGCCTGCACATACGTCTGTGTGAGGGTTTCGGATTCCCTGGAACTGGGGTTACAGATAAGACAGTTGTGAGCTGCCATGTGTGTGCTGGGATTTGAACCTGGGTCCCCCAGAAGAACAGCTAGTGCTCTTAACTGCTGAGCCCTCTCTTCAGCCTTTGAGAATTTTTTATTTATTTTGAAATGGGCTTTTTGCTCATATGTTTGTAATACTGGTTAAATTGGCAAGCTTGGCAGCCATGATTCCTGCAATGTCTCACAGCTTCGCCATTTAAGCTCTATTCTGCTCTCTCTCACCGCTTTGTACTTTATTCTGGATAGGCACTTCTGACTTATATTCTAGTATGTTAATCCTCCAGATGTCTATAATCTGTTGTCTAAATAATCAGTTGAATTTTAAATTTATTCATATCTTCCATTCAAATTTTCCAAATAGCTAAGTCATTTTATATTGCATATTTCCTTACTAGGTTTTGAAAGATATGTCTAATTATTTAAAAATATATAAACATAGTTATTTCATAGTATTTTGTATCTGGCAATTTTATTATATAACATTTCTTGGGTTCTATTTATTTAGTATGTATTGTGATTTCTTTGATTTTTAATGGATTTTTTTCTTTATGGATTAGTTTTTTATGATCATTGACTATTCATTTCCCTTAGATCTCACTTGTTATCATTCTTTGAAGATTGGAATATAGACCACATCTCCAAAAGGGACATTAATATACTTTTTCTCAATGATTTTGGGGGTGTTAGCAATTTGAGATCATTTTCAATTATGTTATTTGCTTCAGGCTTCATAGACCAGTAAGTGTATGAACACGGGGTGGACTCCAGGCTTCACAGACCAGCAGGTGTATGAACACGGCTGGACTCCAGGCTTCATAGACCAGCAGATGTATGAACACAGACTGGACTCCAGGCTTCATAGACCAGCAAGTGTATGAACACGGGGTGGACTCCAGGCTTCATAGACCAGCAAGTGTATGAACACGGGGTGGACTCCAGGCTTCATAGACCAGCAGGTGTATGAACACAGACTGGACTCCAGGCTTCATAGACCAGCAGGTGTATGAACACGGGGTGGACTCCAGGCTTCACAGACCAGCAGGTGTATGAACACAGACTGGACTCCAGGCTTCATAGACCAGCAGGTGTATGAACACGGGGTGGACTCCAGGCTTCACAGACCAGCAGGTGTATGAACACGGCTGGGATTACTATGAGGTACCTACTAGGCTACATTTCTAAAGCACCAGAGATGTTTTCCTTCCTTCCCTCAGCTGCTCCACAGTGACGTTGAAGAGATGGAAACATTTTGTGGCGGAAGGCATAGCCCCCTCGATGGTCCGACTTCATGGTGAAGTACCTTTTGTGACACTACTGTGTATTGTTCCACTAATCAAATATCTTCAGCTTGAAGGTTAGCTGTGTTCTACCCTTATTTTCCTAGTTAAAAATTATTTTCACTTTTTTCCCTTAAAGACAGGATCTTATCAAGTCCCCAAGGATGGCCTGGGGCTTGCCAGCTTGCACTGCTGCTCCTGCGGGAGCCACTCACGTGCTGTTATTACAGGCTTTGCTCCATGCCTGCACACACTTAGCTTTAAGAATCTTGTGTATGTGTATCCAAAGTTGAGAATTAAAAACACTTGATTGGGACTGGAGAAATGGCTCAGAGGTTAAGAGCATTGCCTGCTCTTCCAAAGGTCCTGAGTTCAATTCCCAGGCTCACAACCATCTGTAATGAGGTCTGGTGCCCTCTTCTGGCCTGCAGACATATACACAGACAGAATATTGTGTACATAATAAATAAACAAATAAATATAAAGAAACACTTGATAAAGTTATTTTCATGATGGTCAGTATAGACACCTAGTCTGTTTATTTTTAAAACATAGGTAATATGTTCACATATATATATATTTAAGCCTTTATTGGGGGAGGGGTTTGAGACAGGGTTTCTCTGTGTAGCTCTGGTTATCCTGAAACTTGCTCTGGAGACCAGGCTGGTCTCAACCTCAGAGAACCACCCTGTCTCTACCTCCCAAGTACTGAGATTAAAGGTCTGTACCACTATGCCCACCTTATGTTCATATGCTTCTAAAACAGAATAGTATAGAAACTGCTATCTTTTTGTTTTGTTTGTTTGTTTGGTTTGGTTTTTTGAGATAGTGTTTCTCTGTAACTTTGGAGTCTATCCTGAAACTAGCTCTTGCAGACCAGGCTGACCTCAAACACAGAGATCTGCCTGCCTCTGCCTCCCAAGTGCTGGGATTAAAGCCAACAACTGCATGGCTTAGAAACTGCTATCTTTATAAATGATATGGTGGGCCTGCAATAATCTGAAACAGTAACAATATTCTCAATTTCAGATGAGTTATTAGCTCTATTTTGTAATTTTACTTCAGAGTTTTAAATTAAATAAAAATTTAGCATAAGCTAAGAACAGGGTGTCCCTTTCTTACAGACCTGCGGCTCCACACTTACAGTACAGTCTTTCATTGAGATGGCGGAGGGACTGCAAGACCTTCTCTTCCTCAGCCGACACTGCGCAGATGTTGGATGGCTGGGGCTTACTGGAGGACAGACTTGGTTTCTGTAGCTGCTTGCTGTTCATGGCAGTCAGAATGTCATCCTCAGGCATGGAAGAATTCATGAGGTTTTCTGGTACCGAACACTCAGAAGTACTACCTGAAACTACAGAAACCGCCTTTCACTCGTCCATCACTTTTGTTTTTGGGACCAACCCTAATATCAACTTACTGAAATTATGTCTGTCTATGCTCAAGTCACAGGCAGAGGGCAGCAGCAAATATTCTGTTACTGTTTATTTTATTTATTCATTTTTTTTTTACTTTTTTTTTTTTGAGACAGGGCTTTTCTGTGTAGCCCTGACTGTCCTGGAACTCACACTGTAGAACAGGCTGGCCTCAAATTCAGAGAGATCCTCCCGCCTCTGCATCCTGATTGCTGAGATTTAAAGGCCTGCACCACTACCTCCTGGCTTTTTAAAATTTTAAGTTTTTTTTTCTAGGATTAAAAAATTACTTTTAAATTAAAACATAATCAAATTTCCCTCCTTCCCTTTCTTCTCCCATACCTTCCCCTCCCCCCCCCCCATGCATGGCCTCTTTTTGTTTTTGTTTTCTTTTTGGGTGGGTTTTCAAGACAAGGTTTCTCTGTGTTGCCCTGGCTGTCCCAGAACTTACTCTGTAGACCAGGATGATCTTGAATGCAGAGATTCAGAGAGCTTAGAACTGCCTCTAATTCCTGAGTTTGTTTTGTTATTGTTTTACACACACAATTATACATATAATAACCTAGTGAATTAATTTAGCGTTGCTTGTATACATGTATTTCAGGGCTGATCATTTGGTTTTGGATAGCCAATTAGGGGCTCATCCCTGGGGAAGATTAATCAGCATTTCTTAGTTGCCTGTACTTTGTTTAGGGGTGGGACCCCGTGATATTTTCCCCTTCCACATTAGTATGTCTGTCTTGTTCAAGTCTTAGGCAGTCATATTGTTGGGGTAATATTTATTCATTTATTTGCATGAGTGTTTTGCCTATATGCATATCTGTATACCATGGGCATTTCGTGCCCGAGGAGGCCAGGAGAGGGTGGTGAATCCCCTAGGACTGAAGTCACAACTGATGGTGAGCCTCCACATGAGTGCTGGTAACTGAACCTGGGTCCTCGGAAAGAGCAGCCAGGATTCCTATCCCTGAGCTATCTCTCTAGCTCAGTGTACATTCCTAATCCCTGAGCTATCTCTCCAGCTCAGTGTACGTTTACATTTTCAGGATTCTCTTTATCTGGCATTTTCCCATCCCCAGTTAAGAAAATATTGGCACATACTTTTAATCCCAGCACTTGGGAGGTAGAGGAGGGTGGACCTCTATGAGTTTGAAGCCAGCCTGGTCTACATTGTGAGTTCCAAGATGCCAGAGCTATATAGTGAGACCCTATCTACTTCACATATAATTCTGAGAATCTATCCTACAGAAAAACTGGACAAGTCAGGAGATAGTTTAGTACATTATTATCCAACAACAAACTGGGAAGGAACTGAATACACCTTCGTATGGACAGTTCAAGTCTATGTAACTGCACAATTCACAAGTACCTGAGAAAATACAGCACTCGGGAGGTGGAGACAAAGGCAGGCACATCTCTGAGAGTTTGAGGTCAGCTAGTTCTAGAACAGCCAAGGCTATACAAAGAAACCCTGTCTCAAACAAAACAAAACAAAACAAAACAAAACACCAAAAGCCAAAAATAACAACAACAGCAACAAAACATTGGGAACAAAGCTCCAAGAAACGCTTCTAGTAGCAGTCTGACTGCAGGCCCTCACCTCTCCCTCTGCTCCTCTAAACCAACTCCCTAGCTCCACCTCCATCTCTGTAGCAGAGCCCCTGCAGCAGCATCACAACTGCTGTCTAGCTCATCTTCAGTGGGTCCTGAGCTTCTCCTCCAAGCTCCCTTCCCACTCATCCTGTTATCCCAGCAGCCATTCTCTGGGAATGTGCCAGCCAAGGACAGAGCAGCAAGGAGGTTGGCTAAGTAGGTAGGTGCACTTCAGGTCTGCACTCGCCCTCCTCTCATGCGCAACTCTGCAACAGACAACTGCTGCGGCCTTTCCCCTTGCCCTATCACCAGTGGGTTGATCTGATCCTGGAGGAACACCCTGCTTTCCCACCTCCAGCACACCCCTGAGACACCGAATCTTAAGTGTCAGCTCCCAGAACTCCCAGTGGACACACCTAGCAGTATCCCAGAAGAATTCCCTCCCAGGCAACACAAAGCTGCCACACTCTCCTAAGCACCAAAGAGGGCAAGTGAAACCAAGGAATAAAACTCATACCCAACAAAGACAAGATCAGATATCAACACCTAGAATGGGAATCTTTCTGAACCCAGAAGCCTAGCTGCCAGTGTAGAACCACAGTCAATTACAGCCAGGACAGTATGTCTCCACTAGAGGCCAGCAACCCACCCCAGTAGACCTGAGTATATAACTGAAATGCAAGACAAAGACCGTAAAACAGCCTTCATGAATATAATAGAGGTCCTTAAGAAGGAAATGAATAAACCCCTCAAAGAACTCTATGAAAACACAAACAGTGGAAGGAATGAAGAAAATCATTTAAGATCTGAAAGTTCAAGTAGAATCATAAAGAGAACCTACACTGAGGGAGATCTGGAGATGGAAGTTTAGGAATTCAAACAGAAAATCTCAGGAGGCATGCCTCATCAACAGAGAGCTCAGGGACTGAAGACACAACAGAAGAAACAGATAGCTCTGTCAAAGAAAATGTTAAATATAAAACATTTCTAGTACAAAATATCCAAAAAATCTGGGACACTATGGGAAGATCAAATCTAAGAATAATAGAAATAGATGAAGGAAAAGAAATTCAGGTGAAAAGCACAGAAAATATTTTTTTTTTTTAAAAACAAAACCATACAAGAAAATTTCCTTAGGTCAGAGAAGTCAAGTCTATTCCTTATATCATGTTAATGAAGTCTGCTGCATTCCCCTCCCCTTCTGGAGAGAAGTGTATAATAAGCGTGTGGAAAATAAGCGAGGTGCATTCAGTATTCACTGAATTTCCCTCCCAATGCTGTTCTGTGTTTCTGTTTTTTATTTCTCTCATATCTCTGTTCCTTTTGCTTAATAATTCTAATTCATGCTTCCACCCTGGAACATATGAATTTCTTTTTTTTTAAGTTTCTTTTTTTTATTTTTACTTAAAAATAAAATTTCCACCTCCTCCCCTCCTCCCATTTCCCTCCCCCTCCCCCACCCCCATCCCCTCCCCCGCCTCTCCAGTCCAAAGAGCAGTCAGGGTTCCCTGCCCTGTGGGAAGTCCAAGGTCCTCCCCTCTTCATCCAGGTCTAGGAAGGTGAGCATTCAAACAGGCTAGGCTCCCACAAAGCCAGTACATGCAGTAGGATCAAAACCCAGTGCCATTGTCCTTGGCTTCTCAGTCAGCCCTCATTGTCCGACACATACAGAGAGTCCGGTTTGATCATATGTTCCATCAGTCCCAGTCCAGCTTGCTTTGGTGAGCTCCCATTAGATCAGCCCCACCATCTCAGTGGGTGTGAACATATGAATTTCATAGAGACTGATTTTTAACAGTACAAGATGTAATGGATTATTAAAAATTGCTGTGGATCCCCGAGTGGCTTGCTGTGGGACAGGGACTGCGCATGAGACCACACCACAGGTGTCCGAAGGTGCCTGGTCCCAGGCTGCATCCCCTGCGGCAAGCCATGTGGCAGGCGAGAGACAGATGGAGGCATGCCATGCAAAGTGAGGTTGGATATTTATTTAGTAGTTATGGAACGGAAGGAAGAAAGGGAAACGAACAGAGAGGGAGAGAGAGAGAGAGAGAGAGAGAGAGAGAAAGAGTGAGGAGAGATCAAAGCTGCCTGGGGGGGGGGAAGGGAAGAGAACTCAGGCTGGAAGAAGCTGAAGATCAGCTTGCCTCAGCGGATGGGGAAGGGAGTGGGCGTGGCTTGTCTCCTAAAGAGACAGAACAATCATTACACAAGAAGCATACAGAACACTGAATAGAATGGACCAGAAAAGAAAGTCCCTTCGGCACACGGTAATCAAAAGACTAAACTTACAGAACAAAGAAAGACTTGTATGATAAAAACTTTAAGATATTTGAAGGAAGAATTGACAAAGCTATCAGAAGATGGAAAGCTCTCCCATGCTCATGGATTGGTAGCATTAATATAGTAAAAATGGTATCTTATCATAATTATTTTTATGAAATTATTCAAGATCCAGCTATACCACTCTTGGGCATATACCCAAAGGATGCTTTATCCTCCAACAGAGACACTTGGCTCAACTATGCTCATTTCTATTATATTCATAAGAGCCAGAATCTGGAAACAACCTAGATGTCCCTCAATAGATGAATGGATAAAGACAATGGATATACAATGGAACATTACTCAGTCATTAAAAAAATTAAATAATGAAACTTGTAGGTAAATGGAGGAACTAGAAAAAAAATCATCTTGAATGAAGTAACCCAGACTCAGAAAGAAAAATATATATATTTTCTTATATGTGACTATTAAATGTTAAGTCAATAATAACCAAGATATAACCACATATGTTAGGCATTGAATAAGAGACTGATGGGGAGCAGGGGCAGATAGATCTCCCTAAGAAAGAGAAATAGCTATGAATAAATGGGGGCTGACTGGAATGTGAGAATCAAGTGGAGACAGGGAGGGAACAGGGAGATGAGGGAAGGAATACTTAGACAGTTAAAATTAAGGACCATTTGAGGGGTAGTAAGGAAATCTAGTACACTAGAAGCTTACACACACACACACACACACACACACACACACACACACGAGAAGGTGATCTAAATGACATCACCAAACAATGGGGGAAACAGAGCCCCAACTGGACAGCTTTTGTGACCAAATGAAGCTTCCAGTATTGGTATTGGGTTTTATCTAATTGAGATGTTGTCCAAACAACCCAGGCCATTAGCAAGACTATTGGTTGCTCTCTATAAACTGATGCATGGCCTCATTGCTAAAGACAAAACCTACATGACTCACTGAACTGACATGGAGAAGTCCAACTGGTACCTACATAGAGCCTACCTTCTCACGTAGGAGCTAGTGTCTTTGATACAGGAAGGTACTATGCAGACCACCAGGGCAGAAATGTAAACGCCAACCCAGCTTTGACCTAAATAGTGTTGTTGTGCGAGCACGATATGCTAGTGCAATGTTGGCACAAAGCTTGTTGGAGTAACTAAGCAACATCTGATTTGAGTTAAGCCTTACTCCCCACTGCTTGGGTGACAAAGAACCTGAGACTAGATTGCCTAGGGACCTACAGTAAAACCTAATACTACTGTTCTAAAACCAAACCAAACTGTAGCAATGGAATGACTTCTAATGACATTTTACAATAATCATAGATCAGGTCTTTCTCAGTTGTTATCAGAGAAGTTTCTTCCTGCAGCAGATGTAACAAATAGAGACCCATAGTCAGACATTATGCAGAAAGTGAGAGACCTTGGAACATTCAGCTCTAAGTGGGATGTCTCTATCAAATCTCTCTACTCAAGATCAGGGAACCCCGCAGAAGAGGAAGCAGTAAGAGTGAAAGAGCCAGAAGGAGATGGAGGACACCAAGAAATGAGGTCACCTAATCAACAAGACAGATACACATATGAACTCACAGGGACTGAGGCAGCATGCATAGGGCTTGCACGGTCTCCACCAGATGGGATCCTAGAGATGAAGGAAGTAGACACAAGCCCCATCTCTAACCCAGGAGCCATCTCCAATTGATGCCACTTGCAAATGAAAATTTAGTTTCCTTTGGGGAAGCAAATTACTTCACCCAGAGACAGGGTTTCTCTGTGTAGCCCTGGCTGTCCTGGGACTCACTCTACACCAGGCTGGCTTCCAACTCAGGGATCCGCTTCCCTCTGCCTCCGAGGTTTGTGCCATGACTGGTGGAAACAAACTATTCTTAAGAGTATGCCAACTGTAGATGGTCAATAGAAAGCTAACTCAATGGCATCTTTGGATAGTCCTTATCTTATAATATTGAGGCAGGACTTTTCCTATTTTTAAAAATTTATCCTGTTATTTTTAATATATATATATTCCTTCTTTTTAACCTATAGGTTTTTTTGCATATATATTATGGCTTGTAGTGTTTTGGGATTTCTGATTTGCAAATGAGGGTCTCTATTTGCTATGCCTCCTCATGGGCTTTTTCCTTCTGTTTAGTTTTGTCCTATTCCAATGTGTTAGCTTTTGTTTTATCTTATATTGTATTCTGTTATATTTTATTTTACTATTATCCCTTAGAACTTGTTCATTTTCTAATATGGGACAGAAAGGGAATGAATTCAGATGGGAGAGGAGATGGAGAGGAACTGGGAAGAGTAGAGGGAGAGGAACTACAATCAGGATATGAGAAAAAAAATCTATACACAATAAAAGAAGATAAAAAAAATACATATAGCAAAACGTACCTTCTTCAGTCTTGGGACCTCTTGTAGCTTGTATTGGCTCACTTGCACTTTGAATAGTTTGTCCAAAATGCTATAAAAATAGGTTAAATAAGAATAGAATTCCACATTTAAAATTCATGATATGGTCAAGGCTTTTAAGAATCTATAAATTGTTGCCTGTATTTTTAGTTGTCACTCTTTGTATAACTTGCCTATCTCTTGTTTTGGAGCAGAAATCAAGAACTATTGGATTAAAGCCTTTCATGGTGAATAAATATTTAAAACTGTCTTATGTCTAATACAAAGTTTCAGGTTGCAGTGTTCTCTTGGATAACAAAAGAGCAAAGTATGCTGGGTGGTAATCAGCTGGAATAAAGAACTGTTAAAGGTCCCATCTAACTTTACACTGGGATGGCTTTGTATGTGTGAGTCACTGCTAGACTGTTCCGAGTGCAGCTGATGTTGAGGACAGGAAGTATCTACAAGACTGCAGGCAGAAGCAGCAGAGATCTGAACACATCTTCAAAAAGTGTGCCATTCCACACTACCTGACAGACACCCCCCTGCTCTCCTGAACACAGCCTGTCAGACTGCCTGGCAGGGACTTATACGTGGCTCTGCCAAGCTGATCTGAAGAGTAACCGACACAGGCCACTGCAACAGCCCCAACCCCAAGGCTGCCCGAGCTGTATTTTCCTCTTGACACACCTGGCACTGAAAATCTGCTGTAAAATGGTAAGGGTGACGTTTCACTTTTATCTGTCTTACATTCTTTGCACAAAGAACTAGGCAAAAGATGCCATTTCAAAACACATTTGCTAAGACATGGTGATAAGGACCACTACTGTAGCAACAGTATGCTTCACCAGCCTCTAGAATAAAGAACAAAACCAAACAAAAATGATAACAATTCTCAACTCTAAAATTTGATTTTGATGGAGAACATTCATGTAGTATAAGAGTGGCAAGACCTTGTAAGGTGTGAGGTGTCCAAGCAGATGTGTAAGTGACAGACATGTGAAAGAGAAAGGAAACTGGGAAGACAGTGAAGACAGCACGGGAAGGTGCAAAAGGCAAGGAGCAATACAACAGCGCCCAAAGAGTAGAAACAACTGAGAGGGCACCGACCTTGTAACTTGTACATGCTACTTCTAAGATTTGAGATACTTATTTCTTTTTTCCTTTCTTTCTTCCTTCTTTCCTTTTTTTTGAGACAGGGTCTTACTATGTAGCTCTGGTTAGTCTGCAACTCAGAGATTTACTTAATTCTATCTCTCAAGTGCTGGGTTTAAAGGTGTGTGATACACCAGCAAATCTGATACAGCTTAAAACAAGTTTAATGAAAGATAATGTATTCCCTGCATAGATCTTGATATGAATGGCGGGAATAATATGCGATTTCAAAGAGGATCTGATTAATTGCTACTACATTTATAATCTGGAAGGTATTTACATTTATTATTTAGCTATAATCATATAGTGATAATGATACCATAACTTATACAAACATAAACTAAATGATTCACTTTGCTGGGAAGATTAGATCATGATTGTTATCTATCTTAATAACCTTATGCACATGAAAATGAATACCTCTTGGGCTATAGGTGTGGCTCAGTGTTTGCCTTGCATGTAAGAAGCTCTGAGTTTGATCCCCAGAACCAGGAAGAAGTGTGTAAAATGCTCCCTATATGAATGGCAAGACCCTCAACTTCTTCAATATGTACAATTTTTACAGGGCACCCTAATCCAATTCTATAAAAAAATAAGAAGAGATACTTACAGTAGAAGCTCCAAGTAAAATGCTTTTTAATTATTCATCTCATGTTTCTCAATATTCTAAAATCAATTATTAAATAGACCTCTAAAATGTCATATTAGACTATACTTATTCAGTCCTCATATAATTTCCGCATCATTTAAAATTGTTACTACGCTTTGGATTATACTCAAGATCTCTGTCCCAAAAGCCATAGTAGATTTGTTGGACTGTTCCTAAAGACAAAACCATCATGTAATTCATAGTCTCTTATAAAAAGGTTCCTAGATGGAAGACGTCTTTTAAAAAGTACTGTATAACATACAATATTACCAACATCTATCCCTTCTCCCCTTCTCCCCTTCTTTCATCCTGCCCATTTATTTAAAAAGTACTGTATAACATACAATATTACCAACATCCATCCCTTCTCCCCTTCTTTCATCCTGCCCATTTATTTAAAAAGTATTGTATAACATACAATATTACCAACATCTATCCCTTCTCCCCTTCTTTCATCCTGTTCATTTATTTAAAAAGTATTGTATAACATACAATATTACCAACATCCATCCCTTCTCCCCTTCTTTCATCCTGCCCATTTATTTAAAAAGTACTGTATAACATACAATATTACCAACATCCATCCCTTCTCTCTTCTCCCCTTCTTTCATCCTGCCCATTTATTTAAAAAGTATTGTATAACATACAATATTACCAACATCCATCCCTTCTCCTCTTCTTTCATCCTGCCCATTTATTTAAAAAGTACTGTATAACATACAATATTACCAACATCAATCCCTTCTCCCCTTCTTTCATCCTGCCCATTTATTTAAAAAGTACTGTATAACATACAATATTACCAACATCGATCCCTTCTCCCCTTCTTTCATCCTGCCCATTTATTTAAAAAGTACTGTATAACATACAATATTACCAACATCCATCCCTTCTCCCTTCTCCCCTTCTTTCATCCTGCCCATTTATTGCATATTTAAATAACTTCGGGGAATTTTGTTGCAAATGACCTTTCTACAGAATTAGCTATAAATAATAAGTTAATATATACACATATATATTACTTTTTCTTATTTATATATATTTAAAATATATAATAATATTAATAATTATTAATATAATAATATATATATATTTGCCTAATGTTTGTGTGAGTACCACTTTTGTGCCTGGTGCATTTATAGGCTAGAGGGTGGCTCTGGATTTTTTTCAGACTGGAGTTAGAGATGGTTGTGAGCTACCATGTGGGCACTGGGAACTGAACCTGGGTCCTCTCAAAGAGCAGTCAGCACTCTTAACATCTCTCTAGCCCCAGAAATAATTGCTTAAAGATAGTTAAAAGCCTCCACTGGCAACTGATCATATGGACTCATTTAAATATAGCAAATAAGTACAATAAGCTCCTAGCATTAAGATTCCAAGATTGTCTAACGAATGCCTTTGGCTGTATTCCCGTTGATGCTGAGGTAGAGTTTACACCCAAAGCATCTGTCTTAAAGCAGTTTTCTACACTAAGAGAGTCTTGCTGAGACCATACTTACAATCATTTGCTCGGTGCACTTCATTCCTACAGATCCAGAGACTTTTCTCTTCTGCTCTAACAGCTTTCTCCACTTATTTTCAACAACTTGTTTTCTTCTTGTAACAGCAGAATCTTAACAAATGTCAATGTAAAAAATTATGACAATTGAGTAGGTAATTATGTATCCCTCTAATTTTCAAATCACTGTCAGGCAGTGCAGAAAGTCCTATACATTTCACCCATTTGGCCAGCAGACTTCTATTTATTTTCCTCTAAGTTCTATACATGGCCCATTTGCAAGGATTCATTCAACACAGTTCCTGCTATGGAAGAGAATATGGGGAATACCAAGAAGATACACGAGGCATTTTATACTGTTTGCAGGAAGAACACTCAAAGATTCTAATTTAACATTATCAAAAAATTAGAAATGAAACTTTATACATGGCACCTGTTACATTTGCCAGAGGGGTCATATACTGTATAGTGAGTTCAATTATCCTGAGAGAAATCTGCAGGGCAAGAGGTTGGCCCCACCCTTCAGTTTTTGCAGGGTCCTAGTGTGCCCAGGGAAGTAAATTTATGCATCTCAAGTAGTATCTGAGCAAGTTCTCAGACAGAATTTAGCTGTGAGTTGTGGTGCTCCTCACAAGATTTTCCTATGCTTTTTGTATGGCTACTTAACTAAGACCTCATTCTAACAATGCCAGTTCCCAAATATGATAAAAATAATTTAAGGACAGGTGAGAAAGAGCAAGGCAGAGCAAACACACCCCTCATTCTTGTATAGTCCCCTCATCAGTCATGACAGTGTCTTGTCACAGTGTCCATTTCAGGCTTAGTCTCATAAACTTAGAAACTAAAAAAAATTAAAAGAGCGAATCCTACCTTAAAGGTGTACTTTTTTTTTTTTACAAAATGTGAGGTAATGATATTATATTAAGTCCTCATAATTGAAAAGATGGTTGAAAATTATGTAATGAAACATAATAACAGAGCAAAAACATGTTATACAGGTCAAAATAAAATATTTACAATTATTTGAAATACACTGTGATGTTAACAGATACATATATAATTTGTTGGTCTAGAATTGGTGGGTCATAGGATCTACATATGTTCAATTTTTGTAGATATGAGAATTTTTAGTTCATACGAAACCTTACTTACCCTTAGTAATGTGTCTACTTTTAGCTACTGTGATATATGTAGTTGTATCTAAAAGTCTAAATGTACATTTGCATGATTATTGTCCATTTTATGGCTTTATATATGAAAAGCTTATTCTAGTATTTTGCTTTGTTTTTCTGTGTGTATGCGTGCATGTTTATGTATAGGAGGGTGTACATGTATGGTAGCATGTGCAGGTCTCTGGAGGTCAGAGGACAACTTCATAAGGATTAAAAGCATATGACATCACACTCATTGCATTAAATATTTTTTATTAGATTTACTTATTTTATTTTCTAGTAAGTGTTTTGCCTATATGTGTACCGCCTGTGTCTTTGGAGGTCAGAAGAGGACACTTGGATCCCCTCAAATGTGAGTTCCAGGAGGATGTGAACCACTATGTGTGTGTGATGGGAATTGAATTCGGGTCCTTTATAAGAAAAGCCAGTGCTCTTAACTGCTGAGCCATCTCTTCAAGCTCTATTGCTATTAACATGGGTTTTCAGGCCCTCTGTTCGCAAGTCAAACTCCTTACTGAATGTGCTATCTTCCTAGCACAGTGATGATCTTTCTGATGTAGTCTGCAGTTCAACTAAAAACCACTATCAATATTGCTGTGACATTATTTTGTTCATTCATTTTTTTTTGAGGGAGACAATCTAGATAATTATGGTAGCATTTGATTCAATCACCATGGACACTGGTGTTAGCCCCCTTTTTTTTTTGCAGTCCTTTAGTCTGTTCTTTATAACCTGTCCTACAAATGTTAGATTTGCCTAGCTGAGCCCATATTAATTTAAATCAATGCTTTGAAGCAGACCTCTTTAAACCTCTTTACCCAGTACTGCTTCTCTGGTTTAGCCCTCATGACAGAATTAGCCACATTTTTACATTCATTGTAGTCTTTTATACATTCTACCTATGAGTCTGGATTAGTCCAGAGGATTATAAATACATTTTTCCATTCAGAGGTGTGTCATTTTAACTTGTTAATTATTTATATGGAAAACACTCCAATTTCATTGTATAAGTACCATTTTCTTAATAATTTATATTTTACAGAGAGCATAAGCAATCCGACTATTCTAAAACCATATTACTTCCAGAGCTTTATTTTTCACATTTAAATCTCCAATTGACATGGAGTTGGTGTTTACATATGAGTTAAGGAAAAGTCACTTTACTGATTATACATAGTTAACCAACTGAAGGATAAAATGAACCCCTTTTTTCCTGCCATGCACTGCCAGCTTTGTTAAAAATCAGGCAATTCATCGTGTGGGCTTAGCACAGATTCCAGACTGTGCTCATTGCTACAGCTTTAGATCTAGAAATGAAAGTTCCAAGACAGAGTTTCTCCCTGTAGTTTTGGAGCCTGTCCTGGAACTTGATCAGCAGACCAGACTGACCTCGAACTCACAGAGATCTACCTTCCTCTGCCTCCCGAATGCTGGGATTAAAGGTATATGCCACCATCACCTGGCTTTAGAGATGAAAGTTTTAACTTTGTTCTTGAAATTGTCTCAACTATTCTTGGTCTATGCACTTAATAATGTAAATATTAGATAGAGTCTAGCAATTTTCACAGAGCCTGTTGGAATTTCATTGCCTCAACATGCAGGTACCTTCTTCTCCACCCAGATCTTCGTTCATTCACTTCGTCATGGTTTTAGCCTTCGCTACAGGTTATTCAAATATTTACATTCAGTTACTCTCATAGGCTTAATGTTATTTAAAAATAGCATTATTAAAATTTTAAGTCTGTACCTTTGAAGTCCTAATCTCCATTGCTAGTCTAACTTTGTTTCAGTTGCCCATTCCAACTCAGCTGCATAGTTAGTATAGGATCCTGTCCTGTCTGGGGAGGAAGGCATGCTGTGTTTATCAGTAGCAGGCAAACCACACTCTGACAGTGTGGTTGACATGCTTTGCCCTAGAGGTTTAATTTGACCTTTTAGTTGGGCTTATTCATTATAAATTTTTTCTTTATTTTCTGATGAGGATAAGCATAATTATTTCACTGTAAGGAATTAGTCTGCACTTTAGAATATGATCTCATATAACACGTATTTCAAGGTTTTATAACTTCCACAATAATTTTACTTATTTTTCTCAATATTTTTTCCCCTCAGTTTCTCTTCATTCTTTAAAAAACTCAGTCTCTATCCTTGCTTAGAATTTTTTGTAGTGAATAGTGAAGAGATTTAGGTTACTTTCTTTGCATTTAATTTTCCACCTGCTAATGTAGTTTGTATCCATCCAGTTTATGAAAAGTTTCGTGGTTAAAGAGGATGGGTCATTCATTAAGAGCTCTAGTTAGGCGCAATCTCCACCAGAGCAGGACTGAGGCAGCAATGCTCACAGGAGTAGGTACTAGGGAGTGACCACTGGGGGAGCTATTAGAGAAATGCAAGTCAAAACAACTCTGAGATTCCTTCTTACACCTGTCAGAATGGCCAAGACCAAAAACACTGATGACAACTTAAGCTGGAGAGGATGTGGGGTAAAGGGAACACTCCTCTGTTGCTGGTGGGAGTGCACATTGGTGCAGCCCCTTTGGATATTAGTAAGGCAACTCCTCAGAAATTTAGGAAACAACCTCCCTCAAGACCCAGTAATAGCACTTTTGGGCATATACCCAAAGGATGCTCAATCATACCACAAGGACATGTGCTGTGGGACAATGATCTTGTACTCTGTAAAGATTTGTATTGATTTAATAAAATGCTGATTGGCCAGTAGCCAGGCAGGATGTATAGGTTGGGTGACCAGAACAGGAGAATTCTGGGAAGAAAAAAGCTTAGTCTGCAGTCATTACCCAGATGCAGAGGAAGCAAGATGAGAATGCCTTGCTGATGAAACGTACCAAGCTATGTGGCTGACACCAACAAGAATTTATGGCTTAATACAGAATGTAAGAGTTAATAAGAAGCAGTTTATGATTAATGTAGACCTCTGTGTGTTTCTTTGGGACTGAACGGCTGCAGGACTGTGTGGGACAGAAACCTTTACCATGTCAACAGACATGTGCTCAACTATGTTCATAGCAGCATTGTTTGTCATAGCCAGAACAATTGGAAACAATCTAAATATCCCTCGACCAAAGAATGGATAAGAAAAATGTGGTGCATTCACACAATGGAGTACTACAGAGCCAAAAAATAATGAAATCTTGAAATTTGTGGGCAAATGGATGGATCTAGAAAACATCATATTGAGTGAGGTAACCCAGACCCTGAAAGACAAATATCATATATACTCATTCATAAGTGGCTTTTAGACATAAAACAAAGAAAAACCAGCCTACAATTCACAATCCCAGAGAATGCAGACAACAATGAGGGGCTTAGGAGAGACATACATGGATCTAATCTACATGGGAAGTAGAAAAAGACAAAATCTCCTGAGTAAATTGGGAGCATGGGGACTTTGGGAGAAGGTTGAAAGGGAGGGGTGGAGTGGGAGAGAAGGAGTAGGAGGGGAGTAGTGAAAAATATATAGCTCAATAAAAACAATAGAAAAAGAGCCCTAGTTGCCATCACAGAGGACCTGAGTTTGTTGGTACTTACAGTAGGTAGCTAACAAGAATCTGTACTCAAGTGTCATGGGGATCCTGACACCCTCTTTTGGCCTCCATAGGCATCCTCACACATGTGGCATAGATATACATAGACCAAGTGACAAATAAAAAATAATAAAAAAATTAAGTAAGGTGTGTAAATCCTGGCACGTGTGAGGCTGAAGCAGGCAGACCTGTGTGAGTTCAAGGACAGTATGATCTATTTACTGAGCTCCAGGGCAGTCAGTGCTCTACAGTGAGATCCTGTCTCAACAAAACAAAACAAAACAAAACAAAACAAAACAAAACAAAACTAACCTCTCAAGTCTCAAAAACAACAAATAAACAAACGAAGGAATAAAAGAAAAGCCAGGGTGTCTACTAAGTGCCAGGCCCTGTTGGGATCTGGAGTACGATGTGCAGTACACAGCAAACCCCTGGTCTTTAAAAAGGACACTGAATATGAATGCTGAAACTCTCTGCGTACACTACTTGTTATACTGTAGTGCCAGCGCCCTCGATGAACAGCCCTTGCTCTTTCTCAGTAGGGAACTGATTCCCACTGGCAGGAAGTTTTATGGACTTCTAGTCCATTCCCTTCAAGGGGGGAGTGGCTTCACAAGCCGTGAGTGACAGGGCCAATGGCATTCAATAGAGAAGTAAATCTCAAAACTGTTCCAAACAACGGTGTCTGTTCTTTCACTACTTGAAAACAGACAAAAAGTCAACAGAGGCAGAGCTGCAGTGTTCTGGAAGGGATGGGAGGGCTGTATACTTATTAAAACACTTCTTTCTTTAAACTGCAGGTATTGCCTTATGGCACCTATGTGGCATTTGGAGGTCACCTAGGAGTAGACAGTTCTCTCCTTCCACCATGCAGGTTTCAGGGATTGAATTCAGGCTGTCAAGTTTGGTTGAAGCATCTGTGTTCACCTGCCACCTTGACAGCCTGTTAACATCTACTATTAGCATATAAGGAATTCATATAAAATTTTAAAAATAAGCCGGGTATGGTGGCACATGCCTTTAATCCCAGTACCTGGGAGGCAGATGCAGGAGGAGCTCTGTGAACTTGAGTCCAGTTGGTCTACATAGTGAGTTCCCAGGCCAGACAGAGCTATACTCTATGTCAAACAAAACAGAACAAACAAGTGTGGCGGCCCAAAAATGAACCTATTTCCACCTTGTCTGAAGGTCAGAGAATTTGAGGTTGCTCAAAATGGTTGACAACAACCAGGGCTACACATTCTGACCTAGGTGTGGTTACCTGGTCCTTTTGACATTAAGATGGCCCATACAGGTAGATCTACTCTGTCCTGACTAATGGTCAGGACATTCAAGCATACTTCTGGTCCTTCTTTTGAGATAGGGGGTTTGACCTTGAGAGTGGCCACCTTCAGGTTACTTGGTGTAGGGTGGGTTCACTGCCTAAATAACAAAATGCTAATGACTTGATGTTGTCCTTTGTATCACGTTAAAGCAGTCTTGTCTTCTTCCCCCTGTTGTATTGGGTTATAAAAGTGTATGAGAAATTAAAGGCATTTGCGTCTTTGTTCTCTTTACTATTTTTCTAATCCCCATTTCCCTACCCTAGTAAGTGGTATTTTTGTCGAAGGGGCTTCGACAAGTAAGTTGTGACATAATCTATTTAAATAAACAATGCTGTTTTCCCATGGTGCTCACGTGACAGAAATCTAATTACAACAGCAATGACAGAATCACCAGGAATAAGGATCAGATGCTATTCATTGTCTATTCTTTTTAAACATCAAGGGAGGTTATAGAAAAAGAGAGCAAGCAAAAGTTTCCTATTTTAATTGAGTACGGGTTAGGTAATTCTCTGAAGAACTCCAGCTACTAGAGCAAGTTATAGTATGGATAGCTAAGTTATCTTCATACTATAACTCACTATACAGTATACACTGCCATACCCAATATGGAAAATGTCACATGACTCTGAAGAAGGTATACATTTTATCCTTACCAGTGGCTCTCTCATTTTGGCACCCATGGTTCCTTCTTCCCCATGAGAAAATTGATTCTTCTTCGGTGCTTCTAGGAACCAATGACTGGTAGCTCTCTTCACAGAGAGGACTTTTTTGGGTACAATATACTATCCCATCTTGCTGGAAACCTGTGCGAGAGCCATTTGAATAGTTTCCTTTTGCTGCGGTTTGGCACTCCGGAGAGTAAGGAGATGGCAGAGCTGGGGTCACAGCGAGTAGGTCAGAACAGGCATCTGAGAACAGGAGGCGACTTTCCTGAGTCCACTGGTTCAAACGGCACTCTGTTGGAAGCTCACATGAACTTAAACAGTTCTGTGTCATGGTGTTTTGGGAGTGTTCAGGTGTGGCTAAGTGACATGGGGACACTTGCACAGTTTTACTACTTTTAATATTTGTTGGTGGTTTAGGCGGAGGATGAGGTATAATTAGTTTCCCCTGAGTTTGGGCCAGCGTGTCGGCTTTGTTTGAAGATGGTGGCTGGCTGACAGTGGCTTTTCTGTTCACATGGACAAGGCCTGTCTGGACCTTTGCAGATCCCATTCTTCTAGTCACCTTTGCTCCCCTTGGAGCCTTAGACTTTAGAGTCTTAGCATCACCAGCAGGTATAGGACCAGCATGTACAGGGGCTTTGTTCTCTTCTCTTTGGCAGGCTGACCAGGCTTGTTTAGCAAAGCTATAGCCTGAAGGTATAGAAGAGTTCAAGGGCACACTGTCCGCGTCACACCCTCCTAGATCAGCAACATTTTCGGAGACACCATCATCCGTGGCCTTCTTTCCACCAGCAGAATGTGCAGGGCAGTCAGGAGCAGATGTGAGGCTGCGGGGGCCACTGCTGGTGTGACAATACTGTAACCACTGTGGAGCCGTCCCTGCCCTGCTCCTCACTGGGTGGCCGTCACCTGCACAGTTCTCTGTGTTGCCACTTTCATCAAGCCACCGCAGCTTTTTAATAGTCTTTGGGGTTCCTGGACCTTTCCCTTTCTGTCTTGTTAATTCAATACTATCTCTAATAGCTTCTGCCATTTGATGTCTAAACTTAAAACCCCGATTTATAACTAGTGCCTTGAGATAATCATGCTCGTATCTGGATTCTTTCTTTAATATGCTCTTAGGCAGCCTCACCCCATTTTGTTCATGGACACTAGGCTTCACACCGTGCTGGTCAGGCAAGTCACAGTCAGGGGTTACGTTAAACAGTGGTGCTGATTGCCCACTTGCTTTTTGTTTCCTATCTTTTGAATTAGAATTTTGAGGTGCGTAGGTGGCCTGAAAATTTTCTGAAAATAGAGGCAACTTTTCTTTATTACAGTTAAAATAGTTTATCTTTTCACATTTTACATCTTTCATTTCATATAACTTATCAGAACACTGCACGGGATCGATTTCTTTCATGCACGTGTTGTTCTCTGATAAAGGGCCACCTGACTGTGAATTGGGCGACAATGCAGGGACAAACGAAGTAGGAAGAGAAGCAGTTCTATTTTCTTGACTTAACTCAGACAGTCTCTCTTGGATGGAAAATGAAGCTGCTTCCTGGGTCAGGGATTCTGAAGTAGTCCAGGCTCTACTGACTTTAAATGTTGGGCTCTCAGCACCTGACGGCCTCTCCCTCTGGAGAGCTCCATCAGCGGGATCACTTGTCCTCACAGTGTGACTTTCGGAGGGGTTTCCTCCTTTTTTATCTAGAGCAACTACGGAAGGACTGCACACCAAGAGTACTGAGTCATTAGCAGTTCCTGTGCTTCTCTCCATGGCTCTGCTCAAAGTAGGTGGATTCTGTTCTTTATTAGCCAAACATTCCCACGAGGGCAGAACACTAGATTTACTGAACATATCTGAAAAGGATGCAACAGGCTGAGTATTCTGAGCATCTAAGTTTGTAAGCCAATTGTTTATATGCTGAGTTTTAGAGAATGACAGATTGTCTTCATCAAAGCAGTTTAGATGAGCTGACTGCAGATTCGCCGACTTGAGGGGAACAGAACTCGGCTGGCTTGATGTGGAAGGAGCCATGCTAAGTGTTAAGTAGATCTCTTCCCGCTCTGCAGCTTCAAGGCTGTCTACACTCGAGAGAGTTTCAGAATTGGTTATCTGATTAACTTCATCACAGAATTTCTGAGGGAGAAAAAAGAAGACTGTTTTATGTTGTAGACTCACCCAATTGTTACTAGGTTCAGTTCTCCTAGACACAGAAAATAATGTGACTATAAACAGTACAGGTATAAGCTACACCCCTGAAGCAGACCTCATGGTAAAAAGAAAGTAACAAAGCCATAGAAAGTGTGCTTCCTTTCATTTCAACTCCCAAAGGAAATGCTCAATTATTCTGGCCACCATGATAGCTTAGAAATAATTGCTATTCCATTTAGGTTAGGGAGTTTCTTCAAGTTTCATAACACCAAATTAATTCCGAAAACACTTGTTTATAAATTAGATTCTCTTCCTGAAACCCTCATTGGCCTTCAAGGAAACTCTTGATGGTTCTGTGACACAGCAGCCACCATCACCACGAGCTCTGAGCCCCTTCTCTTTCGTGTTGAGATTGAGTGTGGTCCTGGGGAGGATACCATGATCCAGCAGGTAGTTCTACACACATGCCTGGACAGGCAGGACTAAGTCGACTCAGTGGGCTTGAAAAACAAAACACCAGCACCACATACTGGTGGTTATGAATAGGGGGGAAATAGTAGGATTAGATCCAAATACATTATATGCACTAGGAAAGTCCCAAAAAATAAAGAGAATTTAAAAAAGAAAATATGTTATGTGACTCTAACATGAACTTTCTGTTGGTAGGAATTATATCTTTTTTTATAAGGGTCTGGAGTAAGGTTTTCAACTCTGGTTGTATGTAAGAGATAAAGCATTTCATAAAATAAATATGGCAGTGAGGATCAGAAGTTCAAGGATAGCATTGGTTACATAGTAAGTTTGAGGCTAACCTGGTCTAAATTAGATCCTGTATCCAAACAAAATACCAACAAAAATCTATGTCTGGGCTCCACTGGTTCATTTCCCACATGAGATCCATGTAGTAGTCTTATACTTATCGTACAATTTCTATAGAAGCATGTGAATTTAGGTTCAAGAACTACTGGTTTTAGGGGCTGCAGAGATGGCTCAGTAGCTTGTACATCGTAAGCTTAGGCTGCTTTCTTGAATATAATCTCTAACAATAATATTTCTATTACACTATACTACTTTCAAACAGCTTTTATATTTGTTATAAAATAACACACATACATCCTATGTTTTTTAAATAGGTGGAAAAAGAAGAAGAGCAGAAAGAGCCCTGGGAACAGGCCAGGGAAACCCCAGGTGTTCCTTCAGCATCTGTGATGAGGCTGTGCTCACCGCAGGCAGCATTCTTACAGCCTCTGTTAGCTGTGTGGAGAATACTGTGAGGCACGACAGAATTATGACTAAAATTATAACACCAGTAACATAGTTATCATTCATACTTGCAAACTGCTTAAATGTTGGTTCTCTAGGAGTTTCTGAGTCTCCTCCAGTTTAAGCTGGAACACATTTTTGTTAGTAGCTAGGCTTGCTATGTTGTTTCCCGTCATTTCTTTATCATGATTAATTCTGCGTACGAGGTATTTTTGATGTTTGTAATCATTTTTAGACAACGCCGAAGGCAAGGTAGAATCTATAGCTCTGTGAACCAGATATGAGAAGATTTAGTACATTTAACTGAAATGAACTTATTTCTATAAGTATATAAACGACACAGTTGTATACTATGTGCACATGTCTAGATAATTACATACAAGGATATTGGAGCAATCTACAGACATATTAGAATGGGAATTTGAATAAAATGAGTGTGAGGGAAAAGTGCAGACGCAGAGGAGCTTCACATAGGGATGCCTATTCACCCAGGACTTCCGTCACTATAGCCCATTCTTTATCACTCGGGCAGGGACAGCGATACTGTGCCTATGTTGTCACTTCTCGTTTCTCTAGGCATGTGTTTATATAGATAATATTAGCTTTAGTCCTTAGTTATGTCATGACCAGTAACAATTCCTACATCCCTAGAAGAGTGGGCTGAGACTCAAGCAGGTGGAAATTACGAACCTGCGTTGTCAGGGAATAATGAATGTCCTCCCTGCAGAACTAGTCAAGGGAGTGTGGCTCTTATGCAACCAAGAATATAAACCTTTCTTTTCAGTTTGTTTCAGGAATATAATCAGAAATATAAGCATATTTTTAAAAAATTTATTTACTTATTTAATGAACATTGGGGTTTTGCCTGCATGTATATACACAGAGGTATGAGGCCATCAGATCCCATGGAACTGGAGACACAGATAGCTGTTAACTGTCATGTGAGTGATAGGAATTGAACCTGGGTCCTCTGGAAGAGCAGCCAGTGCTCTTAACCCCTAAGCCATCTCTCCAGCCCCATATAAACATATTTTTTAATCCTAAAAAAAAAGAGTGTCTTCAATGGAGTTTATTTTTTGTGTGTTCAATTAGGACTATATTTCTATATACATATATATTTTAACAATGTTGTACTGTCTGGAAGCTGAGAGCTTGCTACATTTCAGTAATACACAGAGAAAAACTTAGTTCCTTCAAGGACAAGTGGGTGATGAAGAATACAGCTGACTGAGGGGCATTTATTACCAACTCAGTTAAATTAGTTCCAATTAAGTCAGGATAAAGAAATGTTTTAGAAGGTGGCATATTGCCACATGTGACATTACTATCTCCAATACCCATATATGTCTTTATTTAGACAGACCAGAATCAACAAGATCAGTGATGACTACATTCCTAATTATTCCTGTGTCATGACCAGGAGACCATGGCTAGTGAGAAGGTATTTAGTATATATTCCTAAACAGTGAGGGCATGTTTCTATTTATTTTTGTTTTTATACTTTTCTTTCTTTCTTTCTTTCTCTTTCTTTCTTTCTTTCTTTCTTTCTTTCTTTCTTTCTTTCTTTCTTGATACAGGGTTTCTCTGTGTAGCTCTGGAGCCTTTCCTGGAACTCACTCAGTAGACCAGGCTGGCCTTGAACTCACAGAGATTCCCTTGCCTCTGCCTCCCCAATGCTGGGATTAAAGGCGTGCACCACTGTTGCCCGGCTGTTTCCGTACTTTTCTACTCTTATGTAATTGTTCCCCTTTAGTTACCCTTCCCAAACAAAATAGAACTAACTCTACAAAATGTCTAATAAATTCAATTTATTTACCTTTAAAGTTGTCGTCTCTCAACTTTTTCTTCTCTACTCCACTTTCTTCTCTCCTCTTCTCTACTTTCTTCCTCCAGTGAGGAGGATTGAAGGGATGAATAGGAGTAAAAGGAGATGGGGAGGCAGAAGTGGAGATAGAGTGGAACATGGGAGGAAAGGAAGAAGAAATCATAAAAGAAGAGGGAGAAGGAGACGCTGGAGAAGGAAAAGCTAGATAAGTTGGAGGCAAACACGGAGAAGATGGTGAACACAAAGGAGAGGGCAGAAGAGGGACGGATGGACTAGGTAAGGGAGGGGAGGGAGGAGGAGAAGAAAGTCTGGATGAAGAGGAAGAAACTACTACCAAAGGTGACGAGGATGTGGAAGCAGAAGGCGATGAAGGCAAAGTAGAGGATGGAGAAGGACATGGGGATGGGTGGGGGAGAATCAAGGCAGGCAGATGGTCTACAGAGGCCCGAGGCTGATTTGACAGTGTTATGCCTTTTGGAACAGATTTCTGAACTGACTGACAAGCATCAAACCCAGCAGTATGTTCAGGCAAAGGAGTGATACAAGGGAGGGGTGGGGCTGGTTGCACTGGATGACTCGATAAACTGGAAGGCTTCAAAACAGGGAGAGCTTCCAAGGGGGTTGGGGAAAGAACCAGTCGAGCTGGAAGAGAACGGCGAATCAGGGCAGGCCTTAGAGTTGCGGGGGTAGAGGGCTGCGCTGCAAGCAAATGTTTGGGTCTGAAAGTTTTATAAAACAACCTATTCTGTGAGTCAGGATCAGGAATGGTGGGAGAACTCTGGGATTGATGAGGCTGAAGGACAGGTAGCCCAGAAGGAATAGGAGCAGGCAGACTAGGGAAACTGCTAGAAAAACTAGAAGTAGCTGGGGCTGGAGGGTGAGAGAGATATCTGATAGGATAGGATAGTAATGGTGTGGGTAGAAAGGTCTTTGGAAGAGTGGAGGGAACAGATAGATGGACACAGGTCTGGTGGGTGGGGCAAACACCAGGGTAGTCAGGAAGAATTTGGGGAGGATGGGGTAGCAATGGGCCCCGTGAAGAAGACAGCTGACCAGGTAAGTAGGGATCAGGATTGGAGAGAGCTGGACAGGCAGGAATGGATCTGCATAGGTGGGAAAGTATTTGGACAGGCAAGTAGAAAGAACCTCATTAAGATTTAAAACACTCTATTATTGGGCTACCTGTAGGCCTTTGATTGATTTTATCCTTTGGGGTAGATGCTTGATCTTCCATTGGTCACACTGACTGAGTGAAACAGATACCCAGCTGACTCGAGCTCACGTGTTTTCTCCTTTCAAAAGTCTGGTGGTGGCGCACGCCTTTAGTCCCAGCACTCGGGAGGCAGAGGCAGGCGGATCTCTGTGAGTTTGAGTCCAACCTGGTCTACAAGAGCTAGTTCCAGGACAGGCTCCAAAGCTACAGAGAAACCCTGTCTCGAAAAAAATCAAAAGAAAAAAAAAAAAAAGAAAAAAAAAAAGTCTGCTGCATGGGTATCGGCTGGAAAATCTAGTTTAAATCACTAGTGTGAAGAGCATATGCAGACGTCTCTGGGTAGTGGGTGGTTTGGAATGGACTACCTCATGACAAATACATGGATATTGGAGATAGCTGTCTAACAAAAATCAATCTGTTCCAGAGAGTTTAATGCAGGAGAGCTATGCCCTCTTCTTCTCTCCATCCACCAGATATGCCAAGCCGATTAGCTTTGTGCTAAGAACTCAATTGTGATGAAAGGCTGGTTATTTCTTATAGTTTAAAAGTTAATACCTTATTAATATTTTTTATATCTCATTACTTCCTAAAGGGGTTTCTATATTCCTAAAATCCTATTCGCCAATTTTTTTTATTGAGGCTTAAGAATTAGCCCTCACTTTTCTAAACAAATTTTCCTTTTAGATTCTAATTTTTTATTTTTATTTACAATTAGCATTCTATGTTAGAGCCACCTTTTGGGCTGAGGCTGTGGCTAATGGTAGCGCTTGTGCAAAGGGCTTCTCAGTCCCTAGCACAAGTACTGCTATCCTCTGCTTCTTTGGAACTGTTTCGTGATATTTTATTTCTTAACTACTTTAGGTTTATATTCCACTAAAATGTATTTGTAACATGACAATAGCTTATTAATCTTTGTAAAAACATTTGAAAGAAACTTATTTCCATAAAACCAATAAGTGATCATTAATAGTCTAAAATTTCATATTATATGGCATTTATCACATTGTATACTTAATATACAATATTTAACACTGTTAGTTATTTGCGGAGAGAAGTCCAATTTTTTATTAGTTAATCATGGTATCTTCTCTCATAGATTATACATATTGGCTTTTCAAATAAAGACATAAATATATATATATATATATATATATACATACATACATACATACATACACATGAATATCACAATGTCACAGCCAAAAGTATATTATGAAAACCAGGTATTCTGATACAGAATGTAGGTTATTTCTCACAATGACAATACATAATATTTATTATTTACCCATCTGCTAAAATGATAGCATATTTGTTTGCTTCCAAAGAACTGAAGTTATTCTGACAGTTTAAAGAAAATCTTAAACTTCTTCTGTTTTAAGTTGATTTCATTGGTTAATAAAGTGCCTTGGCCCTTTGATAGGACAGAAAATTAGGTAGGCAGAGTAAACAGAACAGAATGCTGGGAAGAAGTGAGGCAATAGCCATGCCTCTCCTTTCTGAGTCAGATGCCATGGATCCAGCCACCAGGTCAGACATGCTGAATCTTTCCTGGTAAGCCACCACCTTGTGGTGGTACACACATTAACAGAAATGGGTTACTCAAGATGTGAGAGTTAGCCAATAAGAGGATGAAACTAATGGACCAGGCAGTGTTTAAATGAATACAATTTGTGTGTTGTTACTTTGGGGTATAAGCTATCCAGGTGGCCAGGAGCCGGGCAGCAGGAACGCAGCCTGCTGCTCCTCCTACAAAACCACCATGTTTTCATTTATTTTGCAAAAGAAGTGTTTTTAAAATGGACAATGCCTAATCAGCACAAAATAATAGTTGATATACAGAAAAAGAAACTGGAAAATGAAGGGTCTCTGTACAAAAATGTTAAGTAGTTTTGAAGTTTTAAATTCAAAGCTTCCTCTGAGCCCTGCCTGCCTTGGCCATTAGGTGCCATCTATCGTCTAGACAAGCCTTCCTAGAGTATTCTAAAATCATACAGTCTTCATGTCTCCAACTTCGGTTTCTTAACACACATTTGTAGATGTTTCACTTCAACGTGTTGCTTTGCTTATGATGAACTACTTACCCAGTAACTGTAAAGGTAGGATTTGACCACTGTCTTTAAAGGCTTTCGTTTTCCTACTTCTCGGGTTGCTCCTTGCAGGCTCATTCTTGAGGCCAGCCTTTTGGAAGCTTTGAGTTTGGCCTCTCTTTTCTTACTCTACGAGTACTCCTCACAGAATCTTGTGTAAACTGACTGTGATGTTCCACATATCTGTGTGTCTAAAGGTTAACAATATCCTCTTAGCCTTCTCAATGGACTACTTCAGCATTGGGGTACCTTTCTAAGTTAGCTCCTTGGGAAGTAGCTCATCTACTGTGATTGCATTGTTTTCAGTGGTACTGTCATTTGTAGGAGGTATGGACTCAGCAAAGACTAGCTTTCAACTGCTCTGTGGCCTGCCCTAAAGAATGCTCCTATACTAGGATAGTGTCTTGTTCCATACAATGTTTGATTGCTTGATTAACTCAAGGCCACCACCGATAGATACCAACCACTGTTTTTATCTGTGATGAGACTGTCACATCTATATTCATGTCCTAGAATTCTTATCCTGAGAACCCTGCATTTCAAACTTACAACTCATTCTAGCTTCCTTTCGACCATTCTCCCCCTAAATCTGTCCACTCTTTCCCCATAGTCATATTCTTTTTATTGTAGTGAAAAGTTTAACATGAGATCTGCCTTCTTATCTGCATCTTATTTATGATAAATGGTTTCACTTTTTGCCAGCAATTTGCTGACCCAATCCTGACTCTGCAACCATCCCCAACTCTTCATCTTCTATTTTCCTCCTTGGTGGTTCTGAAGAAGTCATCATTTTGAAAACTGAAGTACCAGATTATCTGATTTCCCCACATTTAGTCTGTAAATGTGGGAAAACTTCCAAAACATATTATTGGGAGCTTGCTTCAACTTTTTTCACTAATTATTTCTAGAACACATTACTTAACAGTCTCTTCCTGTTTAACTCTTGGCTTCCTTTGTAACTTTCCTACCAACAACTCTCTTCTCACTGTACATGTAAGTCAAATTAAACTAATTAAACGAAGGGAAGTGCTTGCCTCTGATGACTAGCCTCCTTACACATATGCCACAGACCGCATGCAGAAGTCAGAGGACATAGTTGTTTTTCTCCTTTGACCACATGGATCCTGGGGATCACATGCACATTGTCAAGCTTGGTGGCGAGTGCATTTACCTTCTAAGCCATCTCAATTGCCTCAAAACTTATATTTCTTAACACACAGATGCATCTCACTTTCTAATCTCTTCTCTAGTTAAGCTCTTAATTTGTGTTCTCTGATTCACCTGTTATTATTATTATTGTTGTTGTTTTGGATAGGGTCTCTTGTAGCTGAAGTAGGCTCTCAAGTCTTGATGTTCTTGATTCCACATTATGAGCTCTGGGATTACAGGCATGCACCTCCATTATAACCTCAAAATATGAGTTCTCTCTTTGTCTCTTGCCTATGTCTGCCTCTTTCACCTTTCTCCTCTTCTTTCTGTAGGGCGAGGGTCAAGCCCAGGGTCTGGTGCATGCTGAGCTCTAGCACCAGCTGATTTGACACGATCACCACTTTGTCACTTGTGAACTTGGCACGTGCTCAGAATTCGGTCTGCAGTGCCATTCACCACTTGTCCTGGTTAACTCATGTTTTTTTCAGAGTTTGGCTGAAGCATTCCTTTTTTTAGTGTGATTCTTTAAGCCGAGAGTTTAGTACTTTCCCAGACTCTAATGAATACTGAAAGGATGGAATTATTTGTTTTCAGCTCTAATCAAGAGAATTATTGACTAGAAGAATTCTAAGAACAGAATAATGTTCTGTATAGGTATAATATTAAAACAATTTATAGCCTGAATTATTAATAACTTCATGCAAGTAAATGTCTGATTATTACTGTTCATTTGATGTAATTCTATGCATTTTTGGGAGTTCGAGGGATCAATCCCAGGCCTTACATATGCGAGGCAAGATATCGATATATGTATAGTTAGAAAATCCTTTGGAAGGGAAGTCAGTGCTCTTAACCACTGAGCCACCTCTCTAGCCTCTAGGGATTATATTTTAACAGTCTACTCCACATTGCTTCATCTAGTTCTCTGCACATAGTAACATCAAAAATATTGGGAAAAATGGAAAAGACATTTATTGGAGGAAGCATAATGACTGGCAAGTCCATGCTATTGCTTTTATATGATTTACTTATGCAACTATGTAAAGAGACTACAAATATTGCAGTTTTTATTAAGATAATGACAACAAAAAATTATGAGTGAGAAAAAAATCACTGCAACCACAAAATTACCTTTTAAAACTAAATTTGTATCAATACAATTTAAGCAATGTTATCTATTCAGTAAAGACAACAATAAACATCAATATATTAAAATAGTTTTGATATTTTTTCATATAAAATTATTTACTATTGACAGTATTTGTATTATTAGTGACTATAAGACAGCAAATTACAATTGACTTAATTCTTAACTTGTAAAAAGAACAAATTCTAAAACAGAGATAAGAAGTGGGGCTGGAGAGATGGCTCAGAGGTTAAGAGCACTGACTGCTCTTCCAGAGTTCCTGAGTTCAATTCCCAGCAACCACATGGTGGCTCACAACCATCTGTAATGAGATCTGGTGCCCTCTTCTGGCCTACAGGCATACATGGAGGCTGAACACTGTGTACATAATAAATAAATAAATCTTTAAAAAAAAGTAACCAATGATCTTGGCAGTGATGGCACACGCCTTTAATCCCAGTGCTTGGGAAGCAGAGGCAGGTGGATCTCTGTGAGTTCGAGGCCAGCCTGGTCTACAGGTTGAGTTCCAGGACAGCCAGCGCTACACAGAGAAACCCTATCTTGAACCACTCCACCACCTCCTCAAACAGAGAAGTAACCAATGAAAAAGACCACAAATTCAGCAAGCAGAAGGCCATATGGTTATTACATATAAAGTGATAAGTCTAATAATATTAAAACAGTAATAAATTACTTACCGCCAATTTGTTGCTGGTCTTTGGTAAAGAGGAATGTTTACTTCTGATTTTAAGTTGGATTCTTGAATTTGTTTAAGTGCCTCATCCAATGGAGGGACTGGATTGTGAAAAACTAAGCAAATAGAAAAAACATAATAAGGAATCATTTTTTATCACCAATGGTTTATTGATAGATAACTGGCCGATAAAGTATTTCAAAGTTCTTGTATAATATATTTACAATAGAATTAAAATTTAAACTTTGATATGTTAGTCCTAAAAAAGAAATTGTTAGCTGGGCAGTGGTGGCGCACGCCTTTAATCCCGGCACTTGGGAGGCAGAGGCAGGCGGATCTCTGTGAGTTCGAGACCAGCCTGGTCTACAAGAGCTAGTTCCAGGACAGGCTCCAAAACCACAGAGAAACCCTGTCTCGAAAAACCAAAAAAAAAAAAAATTGTTACTTTGAGATCTTCATTATTAATTTTATGATGATATTTATTTGGAAAGAAGTTAATTTGAAAAATGTGTAGGTGTGTAGGCTTTTCTGATATATAAACTCTTCTATATTTGATCTCATGGTCTCAAACTTTTATGACAAAGTTTTACATATTTCTCTGAATAAAATGAAAAAAAAACATCAATTGACTTTGGGCATTTACTGCTACAGAGCTTATTTTAATCACTTTGTAAGTATGTTCATCCTGGCTGGCTATAGCACAGGTGCTATCTGAATTATTATTATTATTATTATTTTGTTTTGGTTGTTTGAGACGGGATTTCTCTATAGCTTTGGAGACTGTCCTGGAACTAGCTCTGTAAACTAGGCTGGCCTTGAACTCACGAAGACCCTCCTGTCTCTGCCACTGGGATTAAAGGCGTGCTATTTGAATTTTACAACTGAGGAAGCCAAGGTATGTGAAGAAGGCAAGTGATGTCCTCACGACCATATGCTACATTGATGGAGGAAGGTCATTGGCTAATAAAGGAACTGCCCTGGTCCATTTTATTGGTTAGAAGATAGGTGGGAGGAGAAAACAGAACAGAACGCTGGGAGGAAGAGGAAGTGAGGTCAGACGCGACAGCTCTCCTCTCAGGAGCACACGCCTGAGAGAGACGCCATGCCCTGCTCCCGGGCAGACACACGCCATGAAGCAAGCCGCCAGGTTAGACATGCTGAACCTTTCCCGGTAAGACCGGTGCTCACAGATTATTAGAGATGGGTTGATCGGGATAACAGAATTAGCCAGTAAGGGCTAGGGCTAAAGGGCCAAGCAGTGATTAAATGAATACAGTTTGTGTGTTGTTATTTCGGGCATAAGCTAGCCGGGCAGACAGCCGGGGTGCTGGGGACGCAGCCCCGCCGCCCCTATTACTACACTACATGGACACTAACCCCACACAGCTCTTTAGACCTCCTATCTTGTTTTCTGTACGCATCCACTTCGAAAGCCTTCCAATGTGCACTTAGGCATGCAACATATTTCTTTCCTTTCTTTCTAATGTTCTCCTCACTGTCATTCAGGTAGAAACACAGCTGTTTCTTAAGAATGCTGCCTCTTGCAACCCTTAAATATGGAAATATTATGTTCTAGTCATCAAATTCTATATATAATTCAAAGCCTGGGGATAGAAGAGATGATTTTTCTAGGTCCAACTCTTTGTACAAACCTAACACTTTACCATTCTATAGTCTGTAGTTTTCTCCAAGGTATTAAAGCAAAGTCACTGACAATTACACAGGGGTTAGTTCAGACTTGAGCTCTAGACATATGAGAGGGTAACAGGGGTGAATATGATAATATTATATACATGTATAAAATATTAAGGTAAAATTTATGACATAGAATGAATACATGCTAGTAAAATACTGTCATTTATTAAAGAGTATTATGTGTGATGCTCTTTGCCAAGTTCTCCTTGTAGCTTATCTACTCCTACACTTAGTGATCCTATTGACTGTGGTATCTGAGAAGATTACCTCTTCTGTCTATACAGTTACTGCTTGAGTGAGGAACATAACACATCTTCCCAGAGCTAGTCTCCTCCTAGCCTTTAACTTCAGGATGTTGCTACTTCCATCCACATTCCATGTTGTCACTAGAGTTACCCTTCTAACAAAGAGACCTTACTATGGGAGGACTCTCTAATATTCATTTCCTCTTCTTAGTAAAGGAGCTCATATTGTCATGAGTGGAAACATATCCAATATTGAAAAAGTTTCAGTTTCCCTTACAAATGGAGCTAGATAGGTTAAATTATATAAAGGGAGGCCTCTAAGGAAATTTAAAGGGCATAACCTGTCTTCTTTTTTCTATCTATCCAATCTTATGGCTGGTGATCTAGCAGCTACCATATCCACAGAGTAAAGATAGAAGCCAGCTGTAGAAAGTAGTTAGCTGAAAGACAGAAGAAGTCTGTACAACCATGGAACCAGCTCTTGACCCCGACCTCAGGACCTAGCCTATGAGAGAAAGAGAAAACTCTACCATGTTTTGGTGTCTTTTGATGGTGTCAGTGTTCCTTGCAGCACCTCTTTACACTAAGATCCCTGACCAATAGAGAAATGGCTTGCTTTCCAGTTCAAAAATGGCATTTTGGATAAAGATGAACTTTCTAGTATTACATACAAAGTTCTTCAGGAGTTGGCTCCAACTTATTTCTAGTTTCAAGTTAATATTCTTCTCTTCTTATCCCCCAACTTATGCTTCTGATACATGAAAGACACAGTTCACTTGTATGAACTGTTCCTTCTCTCTGGCTACCCTTTGTATTTCTCTTTGCCTGTCAAGATACTAATTCAAGAGTCATGCATGTCATTGTTCTAGAAACAATGACTTCGTGTCCTGACATAAGCTAATGCTCTTTCCTGTCTTTTCACACATTCTGCTATCACATCAATTATTGTACCAATGATACTATTTAAATTCTTATCCAAAATAAGTTGTGATTTTTAGCATACAGTTTCATATTTCTGTAGCTCAGTATAGCTGGGGACAGAGTATAACACAGTATAGTACATGATGGCTGGGTAGATGATGGTACTGCCAGCTCTCTTTCTGTAAGCCTTGACATATTTTAGTTCTGTCTTGCTGTTTAAGGTCCAAAAATGTGGATCTGATATGAAAGCACCAATCACAGTCATACTTAAATTCCTTTTTGAAATGTATGTGCTGTGTATACACAAGCTCACATGTGTGGAATTCATGTATGTGAAGATGTGTGTGAAGGCCGCAGGTTGGCACTGAGTGTCTGTTTCAATTACTCTCCACTTGGTTCATTCAGATAGGGTCTCTCAATTGAACCAAAAGCTCGTCAAGACTAGCTAGCAGCTTGCTCCAGGGATCCCCTGTCTGTGCTTCCTTAGTGCTGGAGTACAGGCTGTGGTCACAGCTGCCTCATTTTACATGGTTCTGGGGACGCAGACTCCAGTCCTCATGCTTCACAAGTGCTTTATACACGAAGCCAGCTCCTCGTCCAATTATATATCCTTCAATTCTTGATTGGTTACAGGCCTTATATCATTGGATTCTATTACTTTGTAGATGTTGTGTTTTGCCAATCGTTCAAATAAGAATTTGAAGTGAACTACAAATAAAATACCAGAATGAATGTGACACTAATTTCCTGAACCCAACAGCTAAATTTTCTGTTAAGTTACTTGAAAGAAAAAATTGATTTTTAAAAGACAAAACACTGTGAACTAGCGTGACGTTGAAAGAAACTCTTGAGTGAAAAGAGGGTTTACCAATGCAGCCAACATAGTGTTCTCCAAATTCAATTTAAGTCACATTCTTGTTTTTCATTTGCTTAAAGTGCCTGCTACTCAAACAGCACACAAAGCTGTTGTGGTTTTGATTTCTACTTAATTTTTTTTTAAATCTGTAATTTTATTGTTTACTTGATTTAAATTTAATTACAACTTTCATTTTTGTTTCAGAATTGTTTCAGAAATGATAGGTACCTGCTTTCTTTCTCTGAGAGAGAGGAACATGGGCACGCTGGAATTTTTCAGTAACTTCTTCAAACTTCTGTTTCCTCTGTTGCAGGATGCGCTCTCTAATTTGATATTCTCTTTCTTCCTGTTCTTTGCGCTTCTCTTCAAAAGCTCTAGATTTAATAAGATGTGACGGAAACAGGAGAGATAGACATGAAGTTCTGAACAAAACAGAATGAATGATGTGAAAACACCACAACTTAGGAAATAACAGTTTTCATTTTACTTAGAGACAACACATTTCTGATTTTAACAGGCCACTGGCTACGAATTAAAATATCCTTGGCAAATGGTAATTTCAGACCACCATTCAGATCTTTTGAATGAAGAGAAAGTTCTTCAGTAAGGCCCAACATCCCATACCTTGCTGGGGTAAAAAGCTTTTCCTAAGAGCCATGCTGCTTCTGGTATTCACTGGTGAAAAAGAAGCAGCATTGTAAATTATGGGAAAGTCAAGGAAATGACTTTTCTACCTTTTACAGCAAAAGCTTAAAATTGGAAGTCATATAAATCTTAACTTGGCTAAAAATACAATTTTTATAAAAATGTTGGTTTTATAAATATGAACCAAGAACTCTTCAGTAGACAAAGTTACAAACATGTGCCCTGTAGTGTCCAGTTTGAAAAGGTATTTATTATTATTATTATTATTATTATTATTATTATTATTATTATTGTGATGTGGTGCATGTGCTCTAGCAACTTGTGGAGGGCAGAGGCCAACTTTGAGGCGCTGGTTTTCCTCCCTCCCTCTCTAAGGAGTCCTGGTGTCACACTCAGGTGCCAGGCTTGTCAGGCCAGCATCTTTACCTACTGAGTCATCCTGTCTGGCCCACATCCCCAGTGTTCTTAACTTTACGCACTTTCTATTTTCTCTTTTTTAGTTGTACTGCCTTAAACAGTTAATTTTGTTCTTGCAAAATATGTTTGTATCACTCAAGACATGTCTGATTAAAACGTAAGGCTACAGTGCAAACCCGACACTGGCAGGAAAGCACCCAAAGGCACTGCTTTGTCGTGTATGAACTTGGGGACAGCTAGGTGAACTATTTTAAGGTCCTTCCTGTTCTAGGCTACTGTGGACCACTATT